CCATTCCGCGTGCAGATTGGCAGCCGGCAGCGCTGCAACAACATCCTCAAGACCGAAGAAGCGATGCATAAGGTGTGTGCTAGCATACTGCCCTCGGAGATTGCGGTGTGCTGGCTGTTTGAACCGCAAGTGGTGTGATTGTGTACCATTGCATCCCCAGCTTGCAGCCAGCAGAAAGGTCCGGATTCCGGAGGAAAAGATCATCAGTTCCCTCAAGGAACGAGGGATCTGGGACGGATGAGGTAGATAGAACAATGGATTGGAAGCAGCATTCGAAAGAGACACATTTGTGTATGTACTAATATACCTGAAGCCTGATAAAGTGGAGGTGGATTGTGAGTTGTACGGGAGTGATTAGAGTAAAGCATGCACCAGAGACAGGATTCCTGACAAACTCGCAGCCCCAAAAAATTGTCCCCTCCACTTCTACTGATGACCCTCCGTTCGATTGGCCCCAACATGGCCTTTTGAGTCGAGTCGGTCTGGTTCGGGTGAACAAGCAGAAACGGATGTTTGTCGAATGGCACGCGGAGAGTGAGCATTCCTGGAAAGGTGTTGGTCGATAGCAGGTTGACAGAAGACAAGCAGGGAGGCGTTTCGGAGGAGGCAACATTTTTGGCCGAATCATGCACGTGCCATCTTGAAAACAGTGAAATGCTGAGGGCGCACTCACAAGTGAATCTACTATGAAAGTAAACCCAAATATAAACACGTTCACACTCCTCGTAATCAGCTTCTCAGTGTGTGAAAGATGCGAGGGCTTTGGGGTGGACAGAGCACCAGTATCACAACTCTCAATAGATGCAGATCCAATAGTCGCGGAAGACAAAGTCGACAACAAGAATTTATATATATCAAACAGTGGTGTCTCAACCAATATCTTCTATACAAACACAACCAACACTAATCCAACCACAATCAACAATATAACAAGTCAGAACTTAATACGAAGTATTAAGATCCCTTGTAGCGACAGCATCCAGATGGCGACGCAAAGCCCAAATATCAAGTCGACGCACTGCCAACTGATACAACCAATATACTGAGTCGACGCACTGCCAACTAGTAAACCAAAATGCCGCGTTGACGCACTGCCAACTAACAGCCAATATCCAATGTCCAAAACCCGAGCACAACTTGTCGACGCACTGCCAAGCAAGAAGTGTGGAACCAAAGTTCTCAAGTCAACGCACTGCCAACTGACCAAAACAACCCGAGCACAACTAGTCGACGCACTGCCAAGCTAGAGGTGTGGAACAATCTCAACAAAGCCCAAAGGCGACGACACTAAGTGCCGCGACTGAACCAGATGCGGCGGATCCGACTTTCTGATATCTCAACTCAAACTCAAATCACAGTAGCTACAAGTGCTCAGGGAGCAACTCGTCGCGACCGGGCAGGGGTGGCAGAACTTCTTAGGGTGGAATCACGCGGCACGCAAATTGTACAAAACAATCTGAAATGAGAGTGATTCACAGTCCGGGGGAAAGCTTTTTTAATACAAAGAAACGATGTGCTACTTATACTGTCTATGACGATGCTTAGTAAAGTCCTGTACAGCTGCATAGTAGCTACGCTATCTAAGATCAGTTGCCTTTTAGAGTAATGAAAAGTTGAACGATTGGACAGGTCCTGAATGATCAGGACCCCGCCCCATGGTCCATATGATATTTTTGATGTGGGTCAACCCACCGCGTCATACTTTGGAATACGACGTGCTGGATTGGCCGATGGGTATGTCTTGGCAGATGAGGCCAACGTGGGCGCCCCAAGAAGCCATATGGCCCTAGGCACGCCAGTCGTTCCCCACATGGCCCGGTTCACAGATCTAGCCGTGTCGGTCTTAGTGTATCTGGGTATGGGCGCGACTCGCCGTGACACTTGGAAGTGTCACCGCGATGTGTCCACAATGTCCCGTGATCAAATGGATCCTGACATGTGACAAGTCGTTGCCATAGCATGATCTGGGGAAATGTCCAACCCAAAACCGGGAGTTGCCGTGACAAGATTGGTTCAATCTCGTAACGCCAAGTCCTGTCCAGTAGTAGCTGTATTATTGAGAACGTTGCGCATTGCTCAGCCCTTCAGCCCAAGTTCCCATCTGCAGAGAATGACCCTTTTTGAGAAGTCGCCGCAACAAAGATCCCTTTTTGGGGAATTGTCGCGGTCCAAGCGTTCGTCACTAATAGCCCTGAGCCTGGTATAGACTCATAAGACCAATTCCACAGTAGTGGTCTGACTGCCTTGCTATCATCGACACTATCCACAGTCGTTGACTGGGCAGTAGACCCTTAAGCCCTACTGAGCGCAACACTGTCAACCACGACACGATACACTGAATGGTTCGAGAGTAAACTCTGTAAAAAGCGCAAAAATACGCCCTTACAGAGCTGGTGCAGAGCACGTCTGGTAGCCAGCCTATCAACGGTTGGCCAGATCCTGACGCCATTTTGAGGCTTTACCTGATCAAGGACAGGCTTGAAAGCGCTATCAGATCAGATTTGGCCAAATATACGGCTAGGACTTGGTTAACATCTACGCTCTGCCGGTGCACTTGAAGCTTAGATTTCGTGACAAGGAGCGTAGATACAGGCTAGTAATAATGGTAAGTCTCTCTTATTCTCCTCCCCTCTCTCTCTTGAAAAAACTTGAAAGCACCCCTCTATACCCAGAGATAGGACATAGGCCAAAGAAGTGGCCAAACTATAACATTACCCCCTCTCTAAGGTCGATGTCCTCATTGACTGAGTCAATAGGTGTAAAGATGTTGTTGTATGGGTGTATAGGTTGAAGAGTTGTTGTTGAGGATATGGAAGCTGCTTGTCTATCTCAATATTGTCCCCTTCTATGTACACCTTCATCCCAACCTTCAATTCCGGAACTTAAGGCCTGTCTATCTTGATATTGTCCCCTTCTGTGTACACCTTCATCCCAACCTTCAATTCCGGAACTTCTTTTCTTTGTTTATCGTAGTATTTTTTCATTTTTTCATTTGCTTTTTCCAATGCTGCTTTTGCGTCGTCTTGTATTTCTTTGATTCTTTTTACAAACTCCTCTGCTGACTCGTTCCTCAATTCCATCCGCTGCTCCACTCCTTTCCATGGGTGATATCCGTGATTCGCATAGAACGGTGATATTTTGGTAGACGTGTTCATTTTATTGTTGTATGCAAATTCTGCCATTCCCAGCCACTCTGACCAGTCCGTCTGATGGTAATTGACGTAGATGTGGAGATAGTGCTTGATCTCCTGATTCATGCGTTCCGTTTGCCCATCTGTGATTGGGTGATATGCAGTCCCTGGGTTCATTTCCACGCCCAGCATCCGATTCATTTCCTTCATGAAGCCCTTGATGTATCGCGAGTCCCTGTCGGTGATGATCTTGCGAGGGATCCCGTGATAGCGGAAAACTTGGTCCCTGGTTAACCGCGCTACCCCTTTGCTACTGATGTCAGTACTAATTGGTTCAACGTGGATCATTTTGGTGAAGGTGTCACACCACACATGAATTGCATCATACCCGTTACTGACCGGCAAGGGTCCGATTTGATCCATGGAGATGATTTCCCACGGCGCGTTTGGAACTGCATGCGGGTGTAGAGTCCCTGTCCTTGCTCTTCTGGTCTTGGTCCGTTGGCACGCCTCGCACATCTGGATGTATTTCCGAATTTGGTTCCCCATCCTTGGCCACCAGTAATTCCTTTCCACCATCTCCTGCGTTTGGTTGATCCCAGCGTGCCCAACCAAAGACGTGTCGTGGTATAGTCCAATAATCTTGTCCCGCAGCTCCTTGTCCCTCGGAACATAGAGCTTCCCATGATACATGATAAGCCCCTCTTCCTTTTTCCATCTGACGAGTGACTTCTCAAGGGCTGCCTTGATGCTTCCATTAATCGATTGAAGGGCCTTGATCTCATCGATCAGCTGCTGATCTTGCCCTTCGAATGTGACTTCTTGTGATCGGAAGAACTTGGGCTTCAGTAGCGTGACGTCCTTGTTGTTGTTCTTGCCCTGATCGTGATCTGCTTGTCGTGATAAGAGGTCTGCTTTGCGGTTGAGAGCGCCGGGCCGGTGTCGTAAGGTGAAATCAAATTCTGCCAATTCTGTGATCCATCGTGCTTGTCGTCGGTTGAGCTTTTGTGGCTTCCGGAAGTACTCAAGGTTCTGATGATCAGTGAAGATCTTGAACATTTCTGTGGCCCCCAGGAGCAGCTGCCTCCATTCGTCAAGCAATAACATGATTGCAAGCATTTCTTTGTCGTAGATCTCGTAATTTCGCTCGGTTTTGGTCAATGCGTGTGAAATAAATGTGATTGGGCGCCAAATGCTGTCTTGATTTTGGCTCAAAACGGATCCTGTTGCCCCTTCCGAAGCATCGGCTTCCAGATGATATTGGCCGGTATCATTTGGCAATGCTAAGACCGCATCCTCCGCGATTCTCTTCTTCAACCCATCAAATGCTGCACGCTCATCCGTACCCCATGACCATCCTGCCTTCCCTGTCAGCCGTGTCAACGGCTTGGCAACCTCCGCATATCCCCGGACAAAGTGTCAATAGAAGTTGGTGAACCCTAGGAAAGCTTGGACTTGTTTGACGCTTTTTGGCTCAGGCCATTCCATCACGCCCTTGATCTTGACTGGGTCCATTTGCATCAAATTGTGTCCAATAATTACCCCCAGATATTCAATCTCCGTGCGTTCAAACTTGCACTTTTCGGGTTTCAGGTACAACTTGTGTTTTTGGAGCAGTTCGAGTACTCGCTTCGTGATCCGCCAATGTTTGTTCAAGGTTTCTGTGAAGATCAATATATCATCAAGATAGACTACCACATGACCCTCGTTGATCAGTTCCTGGAGTATGTCATTCATCATGTTTTGAAAGGTCGCCGGGGAGTTTGTGAGGCCAAAGAACATAACCAAGGGCTTGTACAGCCCGTGGTTTGTGTGGAACGCAGCCTTCCACTCGTCGCCCTCTTTGATCCATACATTGTTGTATCCCCATCAGATGTCTAGCTTTGTGAAGAATTTGGCGCCGCAGAGGTTATGGACCAGTTCGGAGATCAGTGGCAGCAGGTATTGATTTCGGATTGTCATCTCATTCAGCTTCCGATAATCTTGGACAGGTCGTAGCAAGCCATCTTTCTTCTTGACAAAGAAGAACGCTGATGCCATGGGTGATTTTGATGGCCTGATCCGTCCGCTGGACAGGTTCTCTTGTAAGAACTCGTCGAGTTTGACCTGCTCATTTTGCAATAATGGGTACACCTTGCAGTCCACTGCTTTGGAACCCGGTTTGAGCTCAATTGCGTGGTCCCATGCTCGTCGGTCCGGTAGCAAGTCAAACAATTCCTTGGCGAATACTTTGACAAATTCCCGATATTGATCCGTAATCTTCCCCTTGGTCATTCTCTCTTTCTCCTTTTCCGCTTCTTCTGCAAATTTCTGTGCTGGCATTTCCTTCAGCCGCAGATCCACTTCCTTCCCAAAGTTGACCAACAGGACTGATTCTCCCTCTTCCATATCTGGTGCGTCCGTGTCCAGGTCGATTGCATCCATGTCGATCATTGCTTGATGCTCCTTGTGACCCCTCATGTGACACCGCTCTGGGCATTGGCTGAATCTCATTGTCTGCTCCTGCCAATCCACCTCGGGGTTGTGTTCCATTAGCCAATCAAGACCAATGAAGATCCAAGCTTTCCCTAAACATGTCAGAAGGAACGTGTGTGTCTCCACATGAGGGCCAATTCTTATCCTCAGGTCAACATAATGCGTGATTTGTCTGCTGATGTTCTCGGTGTTGTCGGCGTTACAAGCCACAATGGGTTGCAGAAGCTGTTGGATATCCAACTTCTCTGCCTGCATGTAGTCGGTATCGATGCAGCAGGTACTGCAGCCACTATCCAACAGTGCTTTGACTCTGCGCGTTTTCCCCGAGTCCAGGCCTGTGATCTGGACATATACGTCCATTGATTGCCTCTTCCTTTTGGCCTGGTAGTTGCACAATTCCTGCGCCAGTCTGCTGGGCTGGGGGCCCTTCTGCTTCTCGGCCGCCAACTTCCTCTGGACAGCATCTGGCACCCTGGTTTGTTTGGGTGCTTCTGGAACCTTGATTTCGGCAGATTCCTTAGGCGCTTCCTCCTTTTTCAAGGATCGAGCCTCCAGAGCGATGCTCCCCTTTTCAGTCTTTGTTGATGTGGTTTCTTCTCCACAAGCCATAAATATGTAGGAGTCCAAAAATAATTTATCCGCAGCTGCTATCTTCTGATCCTTTTTATCTTGTAAATATTTTCTATTTAAAGCTATTTTTTCCTTACATTCTTTTTCCATCTCGGCAACAAGAAACTCGTGAATATTTGTATGTAATGAGTCGGGGAGCGTGTATGTATGGTGAGGGATATCGTTCATATTTTCAATCAAAACAAGTACAGAAAAACGTCCATAGTCCGGACGCTCCACCTCCTTGGCTAGAGGAGTGGAGCGCTTCAAAAACCCTTCTCGCACAGCTTCTCGGCAATTTCCTTGAGGAACTTGTTGTCCTTGTCCCCGTTCTCGATCTCTTCAAGCATCGTGGCCCAATTGAAGAATGTGCGCTTCTTCCTCGGTTCCGGACAGTTCCATGTGATGTGCCCGGGCTGCTGACAGTTGTAGCAAATGATATTGCGGCCCCAGGTATGGGTGCAATCAATTTCCATTGGAACCGGTTCGTTGGCAGCGGGTCAAGTCGGAGCAGGTGCGGGTGCTGCTGGAGTGGCTTGAGGACAGAATTGGGGAGGTGGTCGTGGCGTGGAGTGCCCGTGCAATGCTTTGCGCAGCTGATCGCACAGAGCATTTGCCTCGATGTTGACACACCAGTCCTTGAAGGCACCATACGCCTTGGGTAAGGGGACACCAGTGTTGTAGAGGCGACTTGCGATCTTGCTGCTCAACCCGCGCTCAAGGAACTCAATGAGGATGTTGTCCTGATCCCCCTTCTTGTACTCGCCCTTCGAATTGGTGGAGGTGACCACATTGTAGCCCGCGTCCGCAGCCAGCAGCTCAAAGTTGGAGATATAATCCGCAAAGGATCACCTATTCTGGTGCAGAGCCATGAGTTGAGCAGCGGCAACTTGCTCCACGTTGGAGTCTCTGAAGGCCCTCTGAAGTTCCTCTAAGAAGGTTGCCGAGGTGACCCCAGCCTTTATTCCATTAAGGCTTTTGAAGTTGCGCTGTTTCCAGTTCATTGCCCATCTCAAGGCGGCACAGCTTGTGCCAGCCTCATTATGGAGGTACAAGAGGATGAAGAGGATTTTTGTCTCATCCTGCAAGAATTCCAACCGATAGGCACCGATGTAGGTGGTGCACGAGTCCACGAAGCCCATGTATTTGGACTTGTCCCCATCAAAGTAGGGGGGTTGGCGGCAAGGGTAATGCGGTGGTGTCCTGACATAGTCGGAGCAGGCGTGGTAGGTGGGGGCAAGGGTGGTTGTTTGGAGGGTAACTTGTCAAGGTCGGGGATCTCGTCTTCAGGCGGCGGGAGGGCGAGGTAGGGATTGGAGGGCCCGGGTTGGTTTTGATACGCCAGATTGGGTGACGATGGTAAGATGGGAGGAGGAGACGAACTCCCAGACAATGATGGGAATCGGAACAAAATGGTGGATTCGTGTGCTGTACAAGCACTCAAGGGAGGGTTCTTTTGCTAGCAAAAAGATCCCAGGCCTAGCTCTTCACGTGCCCGATGATCCCGAGGTGCGTTTTCCCGAAGGTCTCCGCAGCACTCCTTGTAGCTACCGTAAGGCTTGGGTCAGGCTCAACGTTACCCGTGGCCTGGTGCTGTTTGCTCAATATGAACCCTTCGCTGCGATCGCAGAGAACGACTAGATGATTCAGTAAAAGGGTGAGTGAGATGATAAGGGTGCAGAGGATATAGCAGGCGTAGCAGTGAGGGATGCAGTGGTAAGAGGTATAAGGTAGGAGGGTATGAGGGGAGTCTTCAAATTATGTGGCAATCAACCCAAAAACCAAGTCAAAAAGAGAAGTGAATTCGAAGACTGGAGAATACAACCCAGTAGCTACAGTATTTATACCCAAATCCAGTCTGAGTCATATCTACAACTAATGAGTCATAAGACTATGTACCGCATGGAACGCTGGTCATGGGTTGTAGTAGAGCCTTCTGGAGCATATGTTGCGCAGCCTTGAATCGATAAAGATAATCCCCCAGACCCCTAGCCCGGACCGTCAGATGCCGTGATCCGCGATAAGATAACTTGTGCCAAGATAAGATAAGATTGTTGATGATAAGATGAAAAAGGGTCGAATTATGACACTCCACTCCCTTCCATGGGTGATATCCGTGATTTGCGTAGAATGGCAATATTTTGGTAGACATGTTCATTCTGTCATTATATGCAAACTCCGCCATTCCCAGCCACTCTGACCAATCTGTCTGATTGTAGTTGATGTAGATGTGGAGATAGTGTTTGATTGTCAGGGGAACCCCCGTTTCGGACCGCTCTGCCTTCGATCAGGCATGTGATTGCGCTCGCGTGACCTGTCAGCTGTCACGTACCGCGGCCCGGACTGCCGCGCCGAGCGCTTCTCCTTGATGGGCACATGGCCAGGTGCCCCATTGTTCCTATTGTCCCCGCTCCCATTGTTCTGTCATGGCCGTTGTACTTATTGTCCCCATTGTTCTTTGTTTGTCGCTGCGTGCTCCATTGTTCTTGTATCATATAAATAGTGGCGCCTGGCAAGGAGAATCCCCAACACGGTTTCTCTTTGGATTCTCCCTTGCCAGGTATGCCGGTCTTGTACCTAGCTACCACTATTAATCATCTTTGGATTCTCCCTTGCCAGAACTCTGAGATCGGGTCTCGAGGTTGCCCTTACAGCAGAAACCGTGTTCCTAGGGATAACCGGACAAGATTGCGAGGTTCGACGCTGACGCCAGTGGAGAAGAGTCGACGAGCGACCAAGACCACCACTCCCTCACCTCCTATCTTGCCCCCTCCTCCCCTCCACGAGCAGACCCGATGAGCATGGATGACAACGAACAGCAGCGGCTGTCTGCTCTGGAGACCAGCATACAGAACATCGAGGCCGTACTCACCCGCCTCATCTCTCAACAACAACAACCCCCTGCCCCTGCCCCTGCTCCAGCTCCGGCAGCGGGTCCAGGTGTTCCTACTGGCGCCAGCCCTGCGCGCCCCCTTATCCGCCCGAATCCTCCCTTCTCCTTCGATGGGGATCGCACCCTGGGCAAGAGCTTCTTGCATTCAGTGAAGCAGTACTGGCGTCTGCTTCCTGAGGCGTTCTTCGTGAATGGGGCAGTCTCGGAAGAAAAGGTAGTCCGCTTTGCCCTGTCCTACATGTCCAAGGACTCCGCAGCCTCCTGGTCCGAGCGCATGTCCGAGCGCACCCCATTCCCGTTCCCTACTTGGGCTCTCTTCGTCACCGAGTTCAAGCTCTGATTCGTCGAGGAGAACGAGCAAGACCACGCCCTGGCGCGACTGGAGACCCATCTGTATTATATGGGCTCCCGTGACGTGTTCAAGTACACAGACGAATACGACGACCTCCTTGATCTCGCCGGCTATACCGACGATCTGGTCAAGGTGACCAAATATAGGACGGGCCTGGATCCGAAGATCAACCAGGCTATCACCACCTCTGGCAACCCTCCCAGGCTTACTGACTACGCCGAGTGGCGTGTCCGTGCGTTCCGGCAGTACAATGCGGAACAAGCTGCCAAGGCGTCTCGAGGCCACGTCCCTCCCCCCCAAGCGCCTCCTATCGTCCCTCGTCCTCGTGCCCCGGTGCTCCCTGCTGTAGCACCGGCAATTGCTGCTCGCCCGGCGCCGGCTCCTGTTGCCCACCCCATCCCCATGGAGTTGGATCGGACCCGGCTCCGCGGTGACGTTCGCCGCACCTGCTTCCGCTGCGGCAGTCCGGGCCATCTTGCCCGTGACTGCCCCACCCCAGCTGATATTTGTCACACCGATGTCCTTGATGAGGTCATCAATCAGCTGGGGAGTGATCTGCTTTCCGAGTTGGTTGCTTGGGTCGCGACCACTGCAGCCGTTGCGGATCATGCGTCCAATGTCGCAGCCGAAGAGGAGCAGGGTTTTCTCCCCAGCGACGAGTGAGTAGTACGCCCTCGTTCGCTTCACGTAATTGTTTCTCCTGTTTGTATGATGAATCCAATTCCCTCCACTCTGCAACAGTTGAAGCAATAGACGTACACCCTGCTCCCCCTCTAACCCCACGAGTCCATAAGGAGAAGTGGGAACGCAAGCTCCCTTCCTGCTATGTCGCTGCCGCCTCTCCCGGGGCCAATTCTCTCCACCTCCCCCTCGAGATCGAGTCCACCGACAACGCAGTGAAGTTATCTCTCAAAGGCCTGGTCGATTGTGGTGCCACATCCGACTTCATCGACTCGGCCTACGTCCTCGAAAATCACCTCCCCGTTTGTCGCCTCACCCAGCCTATCCCCGTTTACAACGTGGACGGCACGCCGAACGAGGCCGGTTCCATTCACGAAGTTGCTGATGTGGTTCTCCGTTACCAGGGCCACAGCGAACGCGTGCAGCTTGCTGTCACCCGTTTAGGCAAGCAGCAGCTCATTCTAGGGTACTCCTGGCTCCGGAAGCACAACCCGGAGATCAACTGGGATACCCAGGAGGTAAAGATGAGCCGTTGCCCTTCCGGTTGCTCCACCTGCCGGGAGGAACTTCGCGAAGAACGTCGATCTGCCAAAACCGCGGCCCGGGTGCTTTGCACCATCAGACAAGGTCCGGTTCCATCCATCTGCGCTGTCGACGTTGAGGACCACGAGAACAAAGAGATGCCGGAGCTTTTGCCAGATTTGGACGATTATGACCCTGAAGATGTCGAAGAAGATGACGACTCCTTGGAAGCCGGTGACCGTATCTTTTACACCCGCTTCAACCCTTCTGAAAACATCTGAGCCACCAGCACCGTCTCTCAGCGACTCGCCGAGGCGTTTGCTAAGAACTCTGCACCTCCTCGGGATACCATCCCCGAGTGGGCCCGCGAGTTTGAAGATGTTTTCAGCAAGGAGTCCTTCGACAACCTGCCAGAGCGACGCCCCTGGGATCACGCCATCGAACTGGTTCCCGATGCGAAGCCAACCAACTGTAAGGTCTACCCCATCTCCCCTCTCGAACAGAAGCAGCTCGACAGCTTCATTGAGGAGGGCATGGCTACTGGCAGGATTCGGCCGTCAAAATCGCCCATGGCGTCTCCCGTCTTCTTTGTGAAGAAGAAAGATGGCAGCTTACGGTTTGTCCAAGATTACCGAGCACTAAACGCAATGACAGTGAAGAACCGCTACCCGCTCCCCCTGATCAATGATCTCATCAACAAGCTCAAGGGAGCTCGGTTCTTCACCAAACTCGACGTTTGCTGGGGCTTCAACAACGTGCGCATTCGTCAAGGCGACAAGTGGAAGGCAGCGTTTCGGACAAACCGCGGGCTCTTCGAGCCGTTGGTGATGTATTTCGGCCTGACCAATTCCCCCGCAACGTTCCAGACGATGATGAATGACATACTTCAGGACCTCATCCTCTCTGGCGACGTTATGGTGTACCTCGACAACATTCTCATCGCACATTCCGATATCCACCGTCACCGGGAAATCGTGAACGAAGTCCTCCGACGTCTCCGCGAGAACAAGCTCTACCTTCGCGCGGAGAAATGCGAGTTCGAGATGCCGTCGATCGAATACCTCGGGGTGATCATTTCCCACAACCATGTGGAGATGGACCCAGTCAAGGTCGCAGGTGTGGCGGAGTGGCCAGCTCCGGCTAACAAGAAGGAAGTGCAGCAGTTCCTCGGCTTCACTAACTTCTACCGGAGGTTCATCTGGGATTTTTCGCACGTTGCCCGTCCTCTCTTTGACCTCACCAAGAAGGACGTGGCATGGACTTGGGGCGCCAACGAGGCAGCTGCGTTTCTTGCGCTGAAGAACGCTGTTACCTCTACCCCAGTCCTGCAGCTCCCGGATGCTTCCAGGTCTTACCGCCTCGAAGCAGACAGTTTGGACTTTGCGACCGGTGCTGTCATCTCGCAGCAGTCCCCCGTGGATGACAAGTGGCATCCGGTTGCCTTCTTCTTGAAGAGTCTTAACGAGGTCCAGCAGAACTACGAAATCCACGACAAGGAGATGCTCGCCATCGTCCGCGCCTTGGAGGAGTGGCGACACTTCCTCGAGGGCGCCGAGCACCCCGTTGAGATCTGGACCGACCACAAAAATCTGGAGTACTTCCGGAAAGCCCAGAATCTCAACCGTCGTCAAGCCCGCTGGTCCCTCTATCTGTCTCGCTTCGACTTCACCCTGCACCACCAACCTGGCCGCCTCATGGGCCGCCCGGATGCTCTCTCGCGCCGCCCCGACCACAGAGTCGCTTCAGACAACGCAGACGTCACGCTGCTGCGCCCGGAGCTGTTCCATGTCCGGGCCTTGGAGGGTCTCACTGTCTCTGGACCCGAAGCCCCTCTCCTGCGCGACATCCGGGAGGCCCTTGCCGGTACCCCCGACATGGAGGAGCCCATCGTGTTGGCAGCACGTGAGCTCCTCAAGGAACGCGGAGTTCGCTCTGCTCGGGCTGCGGAGTGGCGAAAAGAAGGCAGCCTGCTCTACTTCCGTGGCAAGCTGGTGGTTCCACGCAACAACGACCTCTGCCGACGCATCCTCGAGCAGCACCACGACACCCGCGTCGCAGGGCATGCCGGCCGCTTCAAGACGTTAGAGCTGATCTCTCGGAACTACTGGTGGCCCCAGTTGTCTCGACACGTTGGCCGGTATGTGGCCACCTGCGACCTGTGCTGCCGAACCAAGGCGCTCCGCCAACTCCCAATCGGGGAACTCCATCCCACGGAGGTCCCTTCGGAGCACTGGGAAGCGGTGTCAGTTGACTTCATTGTGCATCTGCCAGACGCTCACGGGTATGATGCTATCATGGTCATTGTTGACATGCTTGGGAAGCGCAGCCACTTTATAGAGTGCCACACCCGGCTCTCCGGTGAAGGTGCCGCCAGGCTTTTCTACAAGAACGTCTGGCGCCACCATGGGCTGCCGTCTAAGTATGTCTCTGACCGTGGCTCCCAGTTCATAGCAGAGTTCACGCAGGAGCTGTGGAAACTGGTCGGGGTCTCATCGGCAATGTCTACGGCTTAGCATCCACAGACAGACGGCCAGACCGAGCGTGTGAACCAGGAGCTCGAGCAGTTCCTCCGGATCTTCACCAGCTACAACCAGGACGACTGGGACGAGCTGCTTCCCGCTGCCGAGTTTGCCTACAACAACCATATTCACTCATCCACGCAGCAGGTCCCGTTCATGACCGACACCGGTCGACTCCCTCGCATGGGCTTCGAGCCGAATGGACCACGCTCAACTGTGAACGAGTTGGCAAACGACTTCCGCGACCGCATCGCGTCTGGAGTCGCAGAGGCCAAGTCGGCACTGGTGAAGGCAAAGGATGAGTACAAGCAGTACTACGACCGCCGGAGGGTCTCGGCTCCAGACATCAAGGTCGGAGATCGAGTCTGGCTTGACGCTTCTGACATAGCAACAACGCGCCCGTCCCTCAAACTCTCTCACCGACGGCTGGGTCCCTTCAAAGTCACCCAGGTTGTTGGGCGCGGCGCTTACAAGCTTGACCTCCCTCGCCGCCTCTCTGGTCTTCACCCGGTCTTCCCCGTCGTCAAGTTGCAGCTCGTTGAGGACGACCCGTTCCCAACACGCCCGGCTCGCGAGGAGCCGCCACCTGTCATGGGCCAAGGAGCTGGCGAGGAGTGGGAAGTCGAAGAGGTTCTGGATGCCAAGATGCGCTATCGGAGCATTTGGTACTTCGTGCAGTGGAAGGGCTACGATTTGTCGCACGACCAATGGGTTAAGCACTCTGATATCTTTGCAGAGGACGCTATAGCGGCATTCTACCGCAAGCACCCCAACAAGCCACGCATCATTGCCGCCGCCATCTTCGACTCCCTTCCGTTCCAGCACCCCTCTGCCCCCATCCGCACGTTGCGTCGAGGCGCCGCAATCCAAGGGGGGGGTGATGTCAGGGGAACCCCCGTTTCGGACCGCTCTGCCTTCGATCAGGCATGTGATTGCGCTCGCGTGACCTGTCAGCTGTCACGTACCGCGGCCCGGACTGCCGCGCCGAGCGCTTCTCCTTGATGGGCACATGGCCAGGTGCCCCATTGTTCCTATTGTCCCCGCTCCCATTGTTCTGTCATGGCCGTTGTACTTATTGTCCCCATTGTTCTTTGTTTGTCGCTGCGTGCTCCATTGTTCTTGTATCATATAAATAGTGGCGCCTGGCAAGGAGAATCCCCAACACGGTTTCTCTTTGGATTCTCCCTTGCCAGGTATGCCGGTCTTGTACCTAGCTACCACTATTAATCATCTTTGGATTCTCCCTTGCCAGAACTCTGAGATCGGGTCTCGAGGTTGCCCTTACATTGATCTCCTGATTCATGCACTCTGTCTGTTTACAAGGTTAAAAAGTTGTATGTTAGGTGTAGGATTGTAGGATGTAGTTGGGGCTGCACTTCTGCAGTAAGCCTGTCATTTATTTTCCGAGCATGAGACTCCATCTTGGGTTCTCCAGCCATCTCAGCCTGCTGCAAGAAGCCCTTTGTCAATGATTCTCCTCTGTCATCTCAATCCAGCATTGACAGTGTACAATAAGTGGTTGGATATAATTAGTCATTCTTTTAGAATATGGCAGGTAGTTGTGCTTGAAATAGTGGACAACATTCCATAAGGATCTGGCCTGGGCCAAATCAGAAATGATGGAATGGTAATGTGACATTTGGCCCCACTGTGAAACCAGAGACAAAATCGAGGCCAGCTGGCAATAGCCAAATCAGATATGATAGATAATTGAAAATGTATATCTCTACTTTCTACATGCTACCATGGCCTCAAGAGCACACTGATGACTTCAAAGATGAGAGGAAAAAGATGAGGAGGAGGAAGAGAAAGATTTGGCCTCAGGAATTGTGGGTCTCTATGCCATCCTTGCACTGAACTAGTAGGCTGACACTGATCAGCAGGATCACATGCACAATGGTGCCATTTGGCATTGATCTAGCCTGATGAAAATGCCTTTTTTGGATTTGGCAGAGGGTCTTGAGCCTCAGCCAAATCACACTGATTTGGCCTGTAGAGCATTTGTGATTTGAGCACAGCCTTGATTCACATCACATCAATTGTGTCATATTTTATCTATATATGGAGATTGGCCTGGGCCAAATCCTTACGGAATGTTGTCCAGTAACCCCTGTTTCCTGGGTCCTTGCAGTAAGATGTCACAGACTCATATGAAGTATTCAAGTTTCCATCAACTATGATAACAAAGTCCCGTGGCAACTCACGGGTTACTGCTAGTCTCATACAATTCACACCAACAGGCACATGGTTGTGACTACATAATCACCATCAATCATGTGACGAGAGAATATCATGGAAGTCAATAGAATGATACGCGCCCCAATCTCCCCAGGTTGTTCACACGAATTGAAATCTGGTCCATGCCTTATCAGAGCCGGCAAATGCTCAAGGAGAGGAAGCGATTACCAAGCTGACTGGGACGGGGAACTCATGGGAAGGAGGGAAGCTCGTCCCAAATGGACTGATACAGAAGGCCTGTCAGTGCGGTACATAAGAGACAGCAACCACAATGCATCTTCAGCCAGCCCCCGTAAGTAAATGTACAAAATGCGATGTCCCCTCGTGCATCTGTCTGCGAGGGCTTTTCAGTTGCACCGCTCAGAGTCACAACCAATCCACGACAAAAGACCGCGCGCTTAGTGAGACCACGTCACTGGTGATGGCATCCACGTTCACACCCCTTCAGCCTTTGTCCTCCTTTCGTCCGAACGCGAGTCCTGCTCATCCGACTGAACCTTAAATACTTGGAACTATTGTCATTCACATACACAATGAGCCGGACGGGGAAAATAGTTCCGCAGCTCGCCTTTGTTACGTAAATCGGTAGATGCCGGCAGGGTCTCGGCTGTGACGCGTTGATACCCCTCGCATCTTTCATTGGCGTGCTTCGTTTACCTCTTTCTAAAACTTCCCACCTCCCTTCAACTTCATCTTGCTCTTCCCCTTCCTCCTCGCTGGTCGACGCTTTTGTCCCCCGGCTTCTTCATGACCATACTCCATGAACACTGCCTCCGAACACCCTCCCACACCCCAACATGCCTACGGGACCCGCATCCGACACAATATTCGCATCAAGCCCCCAGTCAGGGGCCAGGACCCTCACCCCCAGCAGCGACCACCTACTAGCGCCGCAGAGTCCCATCCAATTCCCAACCCCTTTCCCCCTCCTCATGTCGTGCTCCACCCCGAAGATGCCGGTAGCAAGACCTTCCTTGCTATCGGTCGCGCTCTCATGTCGGTGGTACGTGCACGGACACCCACTCTTCATGTCGCATCGCTCATTGAAGCATGCAGGACAATCACGCCATGACTATCAAGGACCTTGCTGAGATGACGGTACTCCAGGGGCTTCAGTGCCAAAAGTATGCCACTCAACTACACGTTCCGCCCATACTGCTAATTCACATTTAAGCGTCTCCGCCGCAAGCCAATCAATAACGACGTATATCCGGCAGCACAACGAGCGCTGTGACAAACAGCTGGACACCCCATTGCTCTTGAAACACGTTCTTTCAGGGACGCCGGACGACGACGACCTTCTCCCTGCCCTCTACTCTCGATCGGGCGGTGCTCACAGTGGCATCAAGACGGACAATCGAATCACCAACTTCCGGCGCGGTGCTGTCGTTTGGTATCTCTCCGCCGCTACAGGGGCTCCTTGTCCTTTCGCCCGAGCCGGAATCATGCTGTGCGAGTACGGTGAGAACGGTCGTGGGTCCGAAGTGTCTCCAGAGAAGAAGAAGCAGTCATCGGTGGATAGTGGCAACAAGCGGAAGCGATCGCTGAGAGGCAACTGCATCGCAGCTGATTCAGATTCGGACTCGTCTATCGAGCAGCTCCAGCCCCGGCAGAAGGAAGTCAAGCTGAGCATTCGTCTACCCCCTCTGAGCGCATTAGTGCCGAGTTCTGTCACCTTTGCACTCCCCGCTGAAGACGAAGAGGCATCAAGTTCGGCTTCGGACGCAGACGAGTCTGACGACTCAATCGCAGAACAAGACGCGGCGGGTGAAGTCCCATGGTCTCTTCCCCCATATCCTCGACGCTCGATCTCCATTCCCTCGTCCAAGCCCAGCATTCCTGATGTTTACCCAGAAACCCCATTCTATCGTGCTTCTTCGGTTGCTCGTAGCATTGGATCACCGCCACCGGACTCTGATGACGACCGGGATGATTATCACATCTCGATGACTCGTCGCACGTCTGCCGGGCGTCGTTCAGCGCCCAAGTTTGACTCGGACTGGGATGATTGGGACGCGGACATCGATGACAGCGATGGAGATGGCGACACAACTTGGGAGAGCCCCGGACCACGTTCCCCGCTTGCCCATGTTCCCGCCAAAATTGAAGTCAAAGAAGAACCCGAAGATCTTGACACAGCTCTAGGCGGTTGGTCTGACGAAGTTTGGACCGACTTGCCGATGGATGGACTGGATCCTGCCGATGTGAAAATTGAGGTGCAAGGCATGTGGGACTTGTCCTATGATGCCCACGTCAAACAGGAGGATGACCTGGATTCTCTGTCTCTCTCAAGCTCATTTGACAACTTCCGCGAGCCTGGACCATCCTCGCCGCAGTCGCCACAGAATCTGCATCCGGCCTTTGCTTTCGGCTCGGCTCGGCGATTGAGCGATTCCTTTTGCAGGGATAGTGACACGCCAGAACTTGAACTTGATCTGGATGCGGCTCAACTCTACAGCACACTGCGACCTCGCTCCAAGACCGTTCCTTCGCTCTCGTCTTTCTTCTCCGAGACTACGGGCCCGACCAAGACCCAGGCACCGATGATAGTGACGCAGACCCTGGCATCGCTCATTCAGACCATGTCAATGAACTCCCCTACTGTGACCAGAGACTCGTTCTCGTTCCAGCCACCTTGCATCTCTCCTCAAGAGACAAGGTGTGAGGGATGGAGTTCAGATTCGGTGATCGTCCATACTTGTACACCGTGTTTTCCGGCCATCAGTGCCACACAAGTGGAAGGTCTGTTTGCTTATTTTCCTTGACGCTCGTGGACTCATCTTTCCGCAGGCATCTCGGTGTACCAGATGACCCTCGGGACTCAAATCGTGCTTCGGCGATTGGATACCGACTTTGTCAACCTAACTTCGATTGTCGCACATGCAAAGACACCTTATCCGGTGCTGAGCACGATCCCGAACGCTACAGTCATCACTCGTGGCTCTGCCTCTGTTCGAGGCACGTGGGTCTCAATCTCGGCGGCCCAGGCCTATGTCCGAGATCACCCGTTGTCCGGGAACGAGCTCGACGTGTTTCTGTCCGACGACCTTGCCTCTCGCTTCCCAAGTGCGCTCGCTTCGTTCTCTTGTGACCCTTCGCGTGGTACCGCTGTGTTTGGTCGTCACTTCGGATCGACTCTGCAGGCGACAGCGTTATGCGGTGGAAGTCAACACAAGGTTCCGGATGTCGCCACGTTCATGACGCTCAGTCCTCTTGTTCCCGCGTTACCACCTGCCGACAAGCCTTTGGAGCCTGAACAGCCTCTGACTTCGACCGAGCAGCAGATCTTCCGAGAGCTCTGTGTCACTACTGAATGGGATAAGGACGTCGTCGTCGTGGTTGACGATGTACCGTTGTCTCCGTTATCGGACGTTCCTGATGACATCGACGCTATCTCGAAACCTGAACCGGGCCGGCGGCCGAGGCGATCGCGGCGAGTCGCAGCCGTCAGTGCGACAAAAGGTCGCACTCGTAAGCGTCGGTAGCGTCTGGCGCACTGGTCCCCTATCTTTATTTGCATGGCCGACCCTGACTAGACTGATTGCCACTGTAGCTTATATTGTCACTCCCCCCCAGTACCATACTACTTTGACAGCCGAACTGCACTTCTTGCGGCATACCCCTACATTACACGGCCCCGTCCTTTTGCTATGTAGTAGTGTTGAGTTGCGCCGCTAGTTCGTTTTTTTGTTTTGATTTGGCCAACCCACGATAAATTGTATTGCTATGTTTTGGATTCGATACAGAACTCCCACCCCCAACGCCCATCATACTTTTGTAAGCTCCAAGCAAGTGCTAGATCTGATCTGCTGAGATGTGTCTGAATCTGGACCTGTGTTATCAACCGTTCGATTCTGCTCCTGCCCATAATGGCACAACGACTGCAGGGCGCAGAGTCGGTCTCTTTTCTCGAGTCTGGTGCGATCCGGCAGAGTCTGTTGCTCCTTAGACAGATCGGGGAGGCAAGTAACTTGGGGCCTCTGAAAGGCGCGTTGGGTCTACAATCAGAGACGTGGCCTTCGTGGTGATGAGCTGTTTCCAGGTTTCGCGGGAATTGCTACTTTGTAAGTTCTTTCGAGTTCTTTCTCGCTAGATTTTCAAAGCCGGAGGGTCCTCGATACGTGCCAGGTGAACAAAACTATCCGCTGCGACCCGCGCATTCCGTGATTGACTAGCACATACTCAGACTGCGTCATCGAACAAGTCAGACGCGTCTAGTCTCGGACAAGATGTGGCTCAGCTGGCCTTGGCCGTGGCCAGTCAAGTCGAGGATAACAAAGCGGACATCGCGCAGGACGCGGAACTGTTGGACTCCATCAGAAAGCTGTGTCTGTACGCCGGTTTCTGAACGCGTGTACGTGCGCGCTTATGCTCGGAGACTGATATATGCCGGCTTGTCCAGGGAACTCGAAGCTGTGCATGCATCTCTCCAGGTCTCTCTCTTGAATACTCTGCTACTCGTGGCACTTTGTCGTCTTATTCTTCTCTTGCCAGACGCTCTTCAAACGAGATTCGTTGAGTTGGTTTGTCAAACAGTCTCAAGACCAGGTGAGACTGGTCAGGCTCCAGAGGGACATAAAAGTACGTCGACCAGGTCGCGGACTGCGAGACGCTGGAGCTGACGATCCCTCACAGCACGCGATCGACCTATTCTCGGTGACTCTCTTGCCATGATCAAGCTCTGCTGCTTTCTGAGACGCTCAAGCTCCAATCCTCCGTGAGATTGCAACATAGACTTACTCTGTCGGAAGACTTGGATGACGCACGAAGAAGTCGGATTCTTTCTGCGATACATGACATGTGCCAGTCCGTGATGAGTGAAATGAAATCTGCGAAACAGGTGAGCGTGAGCGTGCGATCGACTCCGTGTGGGTGATAACTGTTCACAGACGATGGAGACCTTGCCTCTGATTCTGTGATCATTCAAATCGGTCGATGTGCACGGACGCTGACCTCTTTTGCAGCGCCCCAGTTATCCCTCGAGTTCCTCGATGTTTCTTTGGTCGAGAGGAGACCGTTGAGACAGTCATCGGCGCCCTTGTTTCTGCGTCACCTGCAAGGATAACGATCCTCGGAGCGGCTGGTCCGTTCTCTGCTCCGTCGATCGCTAGCGTCTCATCTCCATTGTAGGGATCGGCAAGACCAGTGTAGCGATCATGGCCCTGGTCAACCCAAGTGTTGTGGAATGTTTCGGCGACCGGCGGTATTTCATCTCCTGCGATTCGGCGTCAAGCACAGACGACTTGGTGTCTATCATCGCCGGCTCGCTGGGTCTGCAAGGAAGCCGACTACGGAAGAAGATCATCGACTTTTTCACCGCGACAGAGCAGCGTTCTGTGCTGGTCCTCGACAATTTTGAATCGCCATGGGACGCCGGCCCGGAGAACAAGAAGGCGGCTGAGGAGCTGCTGGCTTTGTTGTGCTCCTTGGACACACTGGATGTAGTTGTCACAATGCGCGGTGCAGAGCGCCCTGGTGGTGTGCAGTGGTCGAGGCCGTTCCTCCCTCAACTGGGACCCCTCGACAACTCGGCTGCTCGCAAGGCTTTCCTGGCGCTCTCAGACTGTTTAGAGAACGACGACGGGATCGATCAGTAAGCAATCTTTGTTGCGAATCCCAGTGCTCATTGGCGCAGATTGCTAGCTGTCGTCGATAATGTACCGCTGGGGATTGTGCTCATGGCCAATCTGACAGAGACGGACAGCACGGAGACCTTGTTCGACCGCTGGCGCGAAGAGCAGACGTCTTTGCTTCATCGGACCGCTGATCGCTCATCGAGTTTGGATGTCTCAATCAGTATCTCGCTAAACAGCCCTCGGATGAAGGCAGAGCCCGAGGTTCGTCGCAGCGCCATCTTCGACTCCATCTGATTGCGCCCAGGCACTGGTACTGCTCAGTTTGCTATCAGTCTTGCCTGATGGAATCGAGAACCGCCAATTAGGTGCGATCTTCCCGAATCTCACCAAGTCTCGGCGGGCTCTGTCCACCCTATGGCACACTTCTCTTGCTTACAACGATGGAAACAACCACACTCGCGTGCTTGCACCCATCCGGGCCCATATGCGAGTCCACTATCCTCCTAGCGAGATGCATCTGCTGCCGGTCTACACTTACTACATGGCATTGGCCGGTCTAGCCTGCGATTTGGGGTGCGTCCCTCAGCGTTTCTTGCGCCGAGTCCAGTGACAGAACGTCGTCAGCGGGCCGCACGGACAGGACATCGTCAAGAAAATCGTTCCTGAAATAGGGAACATCCATTCGGTCGTTGATCTGGCGCTCAGAGACACCCAACCAGCTCTTATCCGTGCTGCTATCGATGCTGCGATAAATCTCGCGAAATTCCTGCGGTACACTCAACTGGGGAATCCAGATACCATTGGTCTGGCGAGCTCTGTGTTGAAGCATCTAGATGATCCTATCCTACAAGCGGATGTCCTGTTTAATCTTTCATGGGTCAAGTTGGTCGTGGCAGGAGATAGCCCTGAAGCAGAACAATTGTGCAACGACGCACTGGCGATTTACGAAACGCAGGAGAATCTTGACGGCCGAGCACAGAGTACTTGGCTTTTGGGGCAGATACTCAAGACGAGCAAGCGACAGAAAGAGTGCAAACTCAAGTTCGAAGAAGCGCTCGCTTTGGCCACGGAAGCACAGAACCAAAACTGTCGGGCAAAATGCCTGTCCTGCTTATCCGAAGCTCAGTTCCATGCTGGAGATGCTGCAACAGCCGAAGCGCTCAGTCTGGAGGTGCGACCCCACCAGACCAGTGCTGCATATAGTCTCACATAGAATTCCAGGCTTTGGAATTGTTCCGACAGGAAGAGCATCTCACAAACATTGGGATGACGCTGTATTTCCTCGGGAGAATCGCAGATTTCAGGGACGACGCATCTGCCGAGGAGCGTTACGAAGAGGCAGAAGCTGTGTTACAGCAAGCAGGAGCCAGCAGCCATGCAGCTCTTGCTCTTATTGGCAAAGGAGACATCTTGGTCGCCCGATGCCAGTATCGGGAGGCACAACAGATCTACACCAAAGCTGTGCAGGCCTTCCGGACAAACAGCTCGCTTCAAACGACATACGGTGCATTTGCCCAGTTATCTCTAGGCACAGCGGAGGCATATTTATACAATTACACCGAAGCCAAACGCTGGCTGGATGCGGCTTGGAAGACTTTTGAAAAGACTCCGGTGGTTGCACACGGTCGGATGCATCTGGATATAGTATTTGGTTCGATCGTCCCGAGTCAGGACAGATTCCAGTCACTGACAGACCACCAGGGGATGTAGCCATGTTCCAAAATTCCGTAATGGAAGCTGCCACAATGTATCAGCGCGCGCTGACATCTGCGGAGTCCTTGGGATTATCGGTAGAGGAATCTCAATGCCGCGTGAAACTCGGCGCAGTTCATGTGATGCAGGGGCAAGTCCGCGTCGGACTGCAGCATTTACTGGTCGCAGCGGCGAAGCAGCGTAAAGCACAGAACATCAAAGGCATCACCGAAACAATGGTCCGTCTCGGTGAAGCCTTCGAAGCGGATGGAGATCACCCGGCCGCCCTAATGATATTCCGCGCAACCTACCCAGCCGTCAGCAAAACAGGCGCATTGCGCTCGACGGCAGATTGTTTGCTAGGGCTTGGGAGACTGTGCAGCGACCGAGTATATGTAGACAAGGCTGCCCAGCTATATCAGCAGACTGACGACCCCAAGGGGCGCGAACGCTGTAGAACTCTCGTTCAAAGACTGTAGTGTTCCAATGGCCATGGATTCCACTCTAACGACGCACCATAAAACTTGGGCCCTACATTTTCTTATGCGAGAACAGGGATCTCTCAGTCTACGCGCGGTTTTCCAGAACGAAGATCGAAGTAGCTTGTAACGTGAGTATCAGATGGAAGCAGTCAAAGAAGGCATCGGACGCGCGTCGGCGGTCACGGTGGCAAAGTCTTGTTTGGTCCTGTGTTTCAGATCAGCTGCAGGACCTGAGGTCTCACATCTCCCTCATCCACACCTCTCCGCTATAGTTTTGTTTCTGTACAAACCATCGTCGACGCCGTCGACTTAATTGCCTCCCTTCGGCAACTCTCACATTTAATCCCTAATTCTTCTCTTCTACCACTATAATCGACATGTCTCTCTCTGCCGACAACAACAGCGCATTCAGAGCGCCTCCCTCGGGCAAGACACCTCCGCCAGCTCCTTCTGCCGCATATGCAAAGAGGTGCGACTAAAAGTCGCGTTTTTCTTCTATCTTCCTCACCTCAAATCGGATCAGGGCACGGGAGTTGCAAGCAGAGGCGGGATTGAGTGGTCGATACCGGCCGCCTGCGCTGCGCGCTCTCGAATCTGGCGGATCGCCTCCTAACGAGGTATCCCCAGCCGTCACGACGCCAGGTGATGGCACAGCCCTACCTCCGACCAATTACCCCCCAGGTTTCCGGAGGGCAAGGGCTGGAACCTTACCCTCCAACGTCCAACTTGCCGCCCAGCGCTACGCCGCCGCATCCAGTACCTTGGGTACCCTGACATCGTCTTCTGAGTCGCTTCTTGAACAGTCTCAGCGGCAGATGGTGGCACCTCCTTCCCTGGCACCTTCGCGTCCTGGCTTGCGTCACTCGACTTCAGTGGCTTCTTCCGTAGCTTCCACCGCAGCTCGGGAGCCAAACAGCCGCCTTCGGTCTGGTTCATTGACTCTCCCCACTGGTGGGCTTTCCAATGCATTCGGTCCTTCGATATTCTCCTCCTCGTGGCTGTCCTCTGGCGCAAACGGCGGTTATTCAGCTCTCGACGAATTGCGCTCTGTCACTTCGGCAGATTCCACCGACGAATTTGATGTGCACACTCTCGACTACCTGGGGCTGGACGATAGACCCCGTCCACCGCCTGCGGCGACTATTTCGGAGTTGCGCAATCAAGCTCAGGCTGCGCTCCTTGCCGGCAATCGTATGCGCGCGACGACTGTTTCGAATCCGTATCGCAGCCGCCCCCCGATCCCATCGTCTGGACATCTCACGCCCGCTGGCAACGAGGAAGAGGAGTATTTTGACACATATGATGATGGCTATCGCCAGCATCTGAACACTGACACCTACGTGCAAGATGCAGGTTACGGTTCTTCGAACTATCTCACCAAGTCATACAAGCCTGCGGAGCATCTGGCCCCGACCCGACCCCGTGCCATCTCTGTCGGCGTGCTCGACGACCCCATGCGCTCTCTGCAACGGCGGGCCAATGCTGTCGAGGCGCATAACTACATGAATGAGCTGTCTCATCAAAGCTCTGGCCTGTCCATCACGACGAACAACAATCCTGGCAGCATCCTCAAGGCGAACGCTAAATTGGCGCCTCAGGCTGTGGCTTCTCCCACAGTGCACTTTCCAAATGGAGGTGATCTGGCGTCCAGGGTCTCCAACTATCTGATGGCACCAGGTGGTTCTCAGGCCACTCGATCTTCTTCCCCCAAAGCGGAGACCCCTGCATCTCAGGTTCAGACCCCGAGCCGGTCATTGTGGATTGGTAATCTGGACGGGGTGGTCACGAGCGAGCAGCTTATTCACGTATTTGCACCGTATGGCGCAATCGAAAGCCTGCGGCTCTTACCGGAGAAGGTTTGTTCCACTGGCGCTTCTCTTTGTCGTTCTAATTTTGCGCGCAGGAGTGTGGGTTCGTCAACTTCGTGGACCAAGCGGACGCAATTCGCGCTAAGGACGATGTTCTCAACCGTCTTGGCGGAAACATCGGCATGCCCAACGGTCAGACCGTTCGGATTGGCTTTGGGAAAGCTGACAGCGCACCCGTCGCTCCGGCCAAGGGCAATCCGACTAGTCCGGCACCGGCATCACCCGGCGCCAGCAAACCTGCGAACTCGAACGCGGCGCTGGGTGGCATGGAGCTTCAGTCGACTCCAACTCGGGCGCTCTGGATTGGATCCATCCCATCAACTACTACTCCGGCAACGATCCTCAGCGTGTTCAGCCCGTACGGTCCGATCGAATCTGCTCGAGTGCTTACGCACAAGAATTGCGGCTTCAGTAAGCGTTTGTCATCCTCCTTCGTTAGTCGCAACTGATCACACGCCAGTCAACTTTGAGCGTTTGGATGATGCTGTGCGAGCCAGGAAAGCACTGAATGGTCGAGACGTTCTGGGCAGCGATGTCGGCGCGATCCGGATCGGATTTGCCAAGGTTCCCGTCAAAAACGGAGCTGACACGAGCAATGCCGGAGAAGAAAACTCGACCCTTGCTGTCCAGGCCGTCGGGGACCTGTCCGTGGGAGCGACCATTCATGCGCTTCGAACTGTGAAGGGTGCGATCACTATCCCTGCGGATCAACAGGTTCTCGGGGGCGCGGTTGAGAATTATCGGTCAAACTTGCTGCTGAGCATGATTGCGGCCGGCGCCCATAATGCTTACGCAACCGATGCGCGAGGACCGTCGGTTACGGAGCAGCAGATGATCATGAAGCAGTTGACGGCCGGTAGCCTCGATGCTGAGCAGGATGTCATGGCTTTGGCCGATTTCCGCCCGCCCACGATGTATTACACGACCATCCCGCTTGTCTCTGAACGACCCCACAGCCGGCGCTGGGATGCATCCAAGCTGCGCGAGCTCCGCAAGCGTTTGGACTCTGGGACCATGACAGTCGAGGAGATTGATCAGGTCGCGACCGATTTCCTCGAGGGCGAGATTGTCGATCTGGCTTCTGACTGGCTCGGAAACACTGTCGTCCAGAAATTGTTCGAGCGATGCTCGCCCGCACCTCGGTTCTCGATGCTGGAGCGCATTTCCCCGAATTTGGCCATGATTGGCATCCACAAAAATGGCACTTGGGCTGCCCAGAAGATCATCGAGTGTGTTCAAAGCCCCGAGGAGATTTCGATCATCACGCAGAACCTGCGGGCGTACGCTCCGCCGCTTCTGCTTGATCAGTTCGGCAACTATGTCGTGCAGTGCGTGCTTGTTTGATGTGATGTATGGTTCATGGCTGACTATCCGGCCCACAGATGCTGCTTGCGATTCGGAGCGCCTGCGAACGACTTCATCTTCGATGCCATTGTCGACCGCATGTGGGAAGTTGCGCAAGGTCGCTTCGGTGCTCGGAGCATGCGAGCTTGCTTGGAGAGCCCGCACATCACCCTCAGCCAGCAGCGAAGGGTCGCGACGGCAATCATCCTCAACTCGATCCCGCTCGCAACCAATCCGAACGGCGCGCTTCTGCTCACCTGGCTTCTGGACACATCAGGCTTCCCCTCGCGGTACAACCTCCTTGCTCCCCGGTTCACTCCGCATCTCTCACATCTGTGCACCCATAAACTGGCATCCCTGACCGTCCTCCGGATCGTCAACCAAAAAATCGAGCCGGATGCGTCGACGGAGATTGTCGAGGCGCTGTTCTCGTCTGCAGGAGACCACGTTCTGGCCGATGTGCTCGGCGACCAGGTCAACGGTGTCTCTGTCGTGCACAAAATTCTGACCAGTCCGTTCATCGACCCGATCTTGAAAAACAACTACATCGAGGCGACCAAGCGGGTTCTGATTGAGCTGAAGGTGATTGCGACCCAGGCTTATCGGCGGTTGATTGAGGAGGTTGGGTTGCCGGTGCCCAACTTCCAGCCGACGTACTCTGCCGCTGTCCCTGGCAATGGCAAGAACAAGTCAGCCGCGAACAACGGGTACGGGGTGCCCGGACTGCCATCGGGATATCCGTCGAACGACCAAGGCCTCGCGTCGATGATGGCCGCCCTACAGATGGGTGGACAGAATTCCCAGGCTGGGCCTGCTCAGCTCCAGATCGACCCGTCCTACGCGAGTCCCAACGCGCCTCGCCGAACCAACAGCACGGGACCCGGCTACTCTCCGGACCTCTTCAGTCCGTTCGGTGGCCGAGGAGAAGGCGATGGCATGCGGGGAGGGCGACGCAACACCCCGAACGGTGCGATGCCGAGTCCTGTGCCCTACGGAGCGCCGTCGCCGCCGCCGATGATGGCGCAGCCGACCTACGGAGCCATGCCTGGACACGTGTATCACCAAGGGTATATGTATGCGCCCTACCAGCAGCCTCCGCAAACGTATTGAATTGATGACCGTCACGACACCCTATTCCATCGTTTGAAACCAATATCTATTCCCCGGGCCAGTGTGCCTCTTGGTTATCTTAGGATTCTTCTCTGCGTTACCATATACATACTCTTTTTTCCTACTTGTACAACAGTCTGGTCTGCTAGCCAGTTATTCCATGCAATAGACTCGCTTGTCATTAGTCATCTTTCTTCTGAACTCCGTCATGGGCAGCACATCCTCTAAGGCAGCTCGATCACTTCCCAAGCGCGCGACGGCGACGACACCACCGCCATGGTCCGGTGCGCGCCCTGTTCCTCGCACAGAGGGCGTCGCGAGCGAAACTAAAACCAAGGGCAGAGAGACGCGTCTGCGATGATATAGCACGTATCTGACCGCGCCTATTCGCAGTCATCGAGGAGGATGCCCAAGATCCGCACTTCTTGTCCAAGCTCAGCCAGCTCGGTCAGGTGAAGGTGGACCACAACATGCAGACAACGCGCCCTGTGAGCTAGACTAGGTCATACTATGAGTTGGCCGTGCCCGCTTACGCTCCTTCACTTCAGGCAACTGTCGCCAGCCAGATGTACAAAACGCGCGTCCAGTCTGAAACAGACGCGGAATCACCGACGCCAATACGCAACCGCATGCCAGCGCCCCGGCTCAGTCTCCTGCTTGACCAGCGCAAATCAGTCAAGACGCGACGTGATATGGAGTTCCTTGCGGCTCGGTACGGGCTGGATTTGGACATGCTGGATGCAGTCGCCAAGTTCGTGAACACGCCTAGCGTGCAGCAGAGCGATATGGCGAGATCGGTGGGCGCTGCCGACCACAAGCAGATTCTGCGGGCTGTTTGGGTAGAGCCGACTTTGAAGGGCTAGAGACAACAAGCTCGGACTGGTCTGCTCACATTCTATTAGAACAAGATACACCGAGCATAGTATGCACATCCTAGAGACAGATAGGTAGAGGTACATATGTGAGTAGTACATATGTGGATGATGGTACAGAGAGAATAAGATAAAACAGCCCCTGCGAGCTGCTGCAAATGCCAGATACGAGAAACACGCGCAATCAAGCTGTGGCCTTCTTCGCATTTGACCGCGGCTTCGGTGCTGCACGAGAGGTCTGAACAAACAATCAGCAATCGCTCTGGCTTCCAGTTGACGATTCGTACCTTCTTTGCGGGGGCGGCCTTGGCTGCAACCTTGGCTTTGGTCGCAGGTGCAGCCTTCTTGCCAGTCACTGTCTACAAAGTTTTCAGCATCGGATCTCACAAGACGAACAAATACACACCTTCTTGACTGCAGCGGCCTTGGATGAGGTCTTCTTCGCAGGAGCAGCCTTAGTGGCCTTGCCTGCGAGGACCTTCTTGGTGGGAGCAGCCTTGGCGGCCTTGATTGTAGTGTTCTTCTTCGTCGTCGACACAGCCTTTGCTTTGGTAGCCACGGGCTTCGTCGCAGCCTTTGCCTTAGGTTTAGCTGCTGGTTTGGATGCAGCAGCCTGGGGCTTGGTGGCAGACTTCCCAACAGTAGCAGCTTTGGTAACCTTGGACACAGGCTTCGAGTTTTCTTTCGTATCGTTTCGGACCTTGGGTGCCAGCTTCACGCAACCAGATGGACCCTAGGAAATCCATAGTGAGTTGAGAGCAGAGCACAAAAGCGGCCGTAGCCTACTTTAGGCTGGACGAACAGGCCGGCTTCGACACCAGACACCAGAGCGCGGTTGAGGTGAGCGATGTCGGACGAAGTATTCAGCTGGTAGGTATCCTCGGCATACTAGCCCAGAGAATGAGTACGAGACGAGGGGATACACAAAACACGCACTTTCTTGAGGGTGGCACGAGACACGCCCTGCCGAACTGTGTCTTTGTTGTTGACGATACATTCCTGTTCAGAGGATGAGCAGAGGGTATGGAATAACTGGGGATCGAATACCTTGATAATGTCGCGGAACGAAGGATGAGCGGGAGTTGCCTTGGGCGAGGAGGAGGATTTAGCCTTGGCGGCGGGCTTGGTCTTAGTCTCCTTCTTAGCTTTGGGAGCAGCGGCCTTCTTAGTAGCTTTCTCCTTCTTCGGAGGCTGAGCAGCGATGGGAGACTCAGGAGCGGGCGAGGAGACAGGCGAGCTGGCAGACATGTTAGGGTTCGCGGGGAGAGGAAGCGTAGATGATGTTGGGGGATTGGTAGAGGATTTGTCTTATGTTCACCTTATCTGTCCCCTATATAATAGGTCAGGTGAGAACCACGTGAGGGCGCGTTTGTTGATATTCAACACTGCCACTACACTGCCACTCAAGATGTGTTGTGAGGACTCGCCTTGCATGGCGGCAAGTGGCCTAGTCTCTCTTAGACCCGATAAATCCCATAGCGATACTTGTTGACATTGCATGTTATTTAATGACACTGTACCGGAAGAACGTTGGGTACAGCGCAGAGACGCGTTATTTGTGGTTATGTCATTGACATCCCCTTAGAGAGCCAATCGAAATGCGCCGTTGGTTTGCACTGTCATGCGCAGCCCAGTGCCGATCCATCCGTCCTCCTCTCCCGTTTCGATATTGACATAGCTCGTCTCCATACTAGTCAGTCTTCCGACTGGGGGTCCCCGCACCATCAGAATGCCCGACGGATTCTCGCCGCTCTCAACACGATCGTCTTCTACGCCGACCAGCTTGACCTCGACATTGATCCCTGGCGGCCCAGTATGAGCCGGCCCGGTCGAGTCCGGCTCCAAGTCCTGCACGTCCAGCGCATGTGACGCAAGAACCGGCGCAGCGACCAACGGATGGGAATAGCAATTAATGATGGGAATGGACAGCGAGATCCGCGACGGAGCCAACTCGTTTGCGGGGATGGAACCTGCAAGATCCGTTGAGAATATCTCCAGATATCAAATAATAAGATACCGACTCACCCTCGCTCGAGATAATCGCCCGCAGAGCATTGGATCCGTCTCCAATAGCTTTCGCACGAGCAGCATCGAACACCAGTCGGTCCCACAGTCCATCTTTGGCAATGAAACCTTCCGACATACTGGCCATTTTGTGTCTCCATGCGAATGGATACAAAAACGACTTGCGGGATTCCTTGGAAACAGCGTCGACCAGCGCCTGCACGTGTCCAGGCTTCACAAACAACACGCTTGCAGGAGGTATCGGATAATTTCTACTCGAAAGAACGTCTTGCAAATCAATTCGGGGGGTGGCTGGAGTTATTCATCAGCTACCGGCTGCATGAAATGGGAGGCACACACAATCTTCGTCGACAAAGAGCTTGGCGCTATCGAGCGTGGCGAAACTGGTGCCCTCATACAATGCCGTGTATGCAATCGCTCGTCCATATGCCGTACTGATCGAATGAGCGGAGATAATGGTGTCCAATTGGGTGAGAGTGTGTGACAGAGGCAGCATTGCTCGGACTGCAGCTACCCCAGCGGTAATGTTTTCATGGGAAAGTTGAGCTCCTTGAATCTGTCCCGACTCAGAAGCGAAGAACGACACAGTGAACACGTCGCTGGGTTCTGTGCATGGATGAGCGTCGTGACCAGACAGGCAGTCCATACTGACTCGGAATAGGGCTCAGAATTTTCTCAGTCTTGACCCCTTCGCGTTCAACATCGGCCCATCTCAGAACTTGGACTCGGCTTGCAACACTGGCGAGGGCCTGCGAGCTTGGTTCTCCCACGACAATGATAGTATGGTTCCGATTGGCCTCGCCCGCGTCATAAATCAGTTCAAGAACCGAGGTCAGCAACGACGCGTGGGTTACGATGGCAGATGGGGGGTGCGATTCCAACACAGGCGCTAGCAGGGTGGACGATGACAGGGTGAATGATGGAATGGAGTGCGACGCGAGGGCAAAGTCAGCAATAACGAACTCTGCGCGCGCGAGTTCTATCAGTATGTCAGGCCAAGAGTCAAGATATGCGCACCGACGCAATCATTCAGCAATAGCAAGACATTGGATTCTCCCACCTCCAAACCTGCCAGTCGCAGAAGGCCTGTGCCGAAGGCCGCGATTCGGTCTTGAAGAACGGGGTTGCTAACCTTCGTAAATGAGAACATCGAACACATCCAGATACTGGGAACGCGCACTTTGGTCGACCAGAGGGTTCGCGGCGCGTCCGAGTCAGGTTTCAGCATGTCTGCAAGAATGTGCACATCCTTTGCCGGTCGAAGCGGGAACTATGACAAAGGTTCAGACGCCAAACCTGCAGGATAGAGCGTATTACAGACCCGACCCATTAATCCAGTGCCATAGTTTCGATAGACAGCACTCTCTCCGGGATTGCGCACGCGTGCAACGTCACTCTGACGCCCAAGGAGGATGGGGTGGATGGAAGGCTGAGGCTTGTAGAGATTGTTCAGTAGAAATACGGTAGCTGCGATGAGCCCAAGTAGGATGGTCGTATCGTCCGTAGCCAAGTATTCTGAGAACAGAGCGGACATAGCTCGGTAGCGAGTGTGCTCAGGAAAAGTGGGTGCTCGTAATACTAATCCACGCCGAAGCACGGATGGATACCGGTTTGATGTATTGATCGAGAAACTTCCAAATTTGTCCGTGAATGCTTTGCGCTAGTTTTCCTCCCTCTTCCTCATACCATTGCACGCAAAGAGTCATCCAACCACGCGAGCAATAGATGAAACGACTAACCCCTTCCATATCCACATTTCAGTACTTGTATTGAAGCACTCGATCGACTAACACCTGAAGATCATCAAAGCCGTTCCTTCGCTATTGCCTACCCTGGCCTTCAATCTGTCGTCCTCAGAGCACCCATGTGGCTCCTTTTGAACCTCCTGCATAACCTTTATCCTCTTCTTCACCCTCCTGTACACGCTATGCACCCTCTGTTTCCATTCGTGCCACGAACTGGACCGTGCACGACCAAGACTCCACGTGATCTGCCTTGGTGAACGAATCGGAAGTCAACGTCTCTTATTCCCTCCCCTTCTCCCCTCCGTTCTCTCCACTCGGTTCCCCAACCTCATCAGCTCAATGCCCACATCAAACATCAAGACCAAAGCCAAGGTGGCCACCAAGGGCTCTATTGTGCCCAAGAACAAGAGCGTCAGCACCCATCCACCCTGGATAGATATGATAAAGGTTTGCCGCCCGTTGCTACCCTTTGCGCCGTCCAATGGGACCAAATCCTGTCTGTCTTTCAGGAATGCATCATCGCCCACCCTGAAGAAGCCAGAGGCGGAGTATCGCGCCCCATGATCAAGAAGGTCAACCTCAACACGCACTCGACTCGTGTTGTCGCTATAACTTAGTTCAACTGCTAAACTCCGTTACAGTTTGTCGAGTCCAAGTATAAGGTCGAGGTCAATGCTGCTGCTGCGAGTCAGCTCAACCGCGCTATCACGTCTGGAAGCGTACGCGGGCAATTCGTATTACCGAAGGGTTCGGGACCACCTCACTCAGGTCGGGATATCCGCTCATACGTCAGTCAGGACCCTCCGGGAAGGTGAAGCTCACACCTAAGGTCCGTGGGGAGGCTGCCAAAGAGGTGCGCTCACCTACTGTGTCTTCACTGCTCTTGACATCGCCCATAGAACTCGAAACCAGTCTCGAAAGCTGTGAAGCCGCCCCCACCTGCTAAACATGTGACCTCCAAGGCCCCGGCTACTTACATGGTCAAAGCTAAGCCCAAGCAAGGCACGACAACGACCACTGCCAATAAATCGGCGGCCACTTCCAAACCATCTGCGAAGAAGTCAGTTCCGGCGAAGAAGACTCTCAAGCCCAAGGCGACTGTCACCAAGAAGACGGCGGCACCCTCTAAGCGTGCTCCAGCGAAAAAGGTCACCGGACCGACCGTTTGGGGCGCCGCTCTTTGTTGATGATTGCCAGGCTGTCGTTGGAAAGAAGTTTGTTACCGTCAAGAAACCAATTATGAAGAAGCCAGCAGCAGTCAAGAAGGCAGCACCCTCGACCAAGAAGGTCCGTCGCTCTTTTTTGCGACGCATCGACCGAGCTAATCATATTCTGTAGCCCGCCACGGAAAGGTCCAAAACAACCAAAGCGGCATCCGTCAAAGCCAAGGGCAAACGCTCTGTCAAGGCAGAACCCACTAAAGCCGTCAAGTCGACGAAGAAGGCGGCTGCCTAGGCTGGATGAATTGCTGAGATTGCTCCTGGTATTTATTATATCTTGGATACTCGCTGCGTTGTTGTACTTATATCCTGTATCTGATTGCTGCTTGCTTTCTCACATATATAGAATACGACTGAACTACGTCCCCGTGGCTAATCCCTCGAGAATGCGAATGAAAGCGCTAGGGTCCACAATATCTGTGCCTCCATAAGTGACCCGCTTCCCCGTCTTTGCTGCCCATTCTTCAAGATTTCCGTACTCGACGTAGCCAGCGCCGCCAACAACGAAAACCACACTCTCAGCAAACGCCATCCGCCGGCTTCGTCCGGTTCCAGCCCCGCTGCCCCCAATTCCACCAGGGCCGATTGCCGAAGTCCGTGGCGCACGAGGATCCAAGAACAGAAAGTCGTCGGTTTCTTGCAAGGAAGAATTTGATGCACTGGCAGAGTCCATGAGAGCCTCGGTCACACGGGTAACGGGCAGCAGCTTGTTCGTGGGCAAGAAGTTCTTGACCCCTGAGATCAGCCCCTCAAAGCCTGTGGTCGCGAATCGGTCCGTTAACTGAAGAAGTCAGATTGGGAGCGACCTCGGGTATCCCAAAGGGACGAACCTTGTTTCCAAGCGCACTGAAGCCTTTGAAGAGCTCGCCGCCCGCCGATTCATTGGCCGGAGTGCCTGCTCCGGTGGCGACAGAGAACGTTCCCATGCTCATCCGTTCCACCTCACGCAACTTGCGCACATATTCAAAAGCGCCAATGTTGGCACCAGAGCTCTTCAGCTCTTTTTCCAGTTCGCTCACATCATCCTTCGACAACATGTTGTCTGACCCTCGAGAAAGATAAAATGTGACCACTAAGCGCAGCTTGTCCTCGGCAGACAACGCAGGAGAATCTCCACGCAGAGTGCTCATGATGGTTTGCATGGACTGTCACACAAAAATAAAGACGGGAACCGGAGGACGACAATCAAACGAACCTGTTTGTTGATGGCCTCCTCAATGCTGAACAGCTCGTCTAGGCCTCGCTGTTTGATGTGCTCCAGAAGAGTGGTCGCAATGTTCATATGCGTGTCCAGAGTGGCTTTGCGAGCCGTCAATTCAGGTAGCTGAGTAATCGCTGTCTTGAGGTGGGCTGCGTTGGCCGACAGATCCCTGAGCAGAGCGGATTCCAAATTAGCACGGGCGTCTGGGCACTTGAATTTCACCGTACAACTGAGCAATATCGTTCACGTCGCTGACCCCAGTGTTTCTGGTGATCTCGGCTGCGTCAGATTTATATTTGTTCAGCTCTGTGTCGATGTCCTCTGCAACTTGCGGGAACGGATTTGCAGCGTTGCGTTCCCAGAAAAAGTCTTTCGAGTCGAGATCATAAGATCGCTTTGGCTGCGGTGGTTGAGTTGTTGTAGCTGGAACAACGACGCGATTCAGGTTCATCTCGAAACAGTCCGAGATCAGGGCTTGATACGTCCAGCCATGAAGAATAGGCGAAGCCAAATCGATGTTACGGTCCAAAATCAGCAGCACTATAAATGAACACATCAGCTTCTTGGTCAGAAAACATAAAACGAGATTACAGGGACGCTGAAGACCGCTCAGCCCTGAAGTGTCTTGGGAAAACAAAGAGTTGGAAGAGGAAGAATGGGAGGGCGCTCTTGAGGCAGTCAGTAAGGCATCTCTGATCTTCGTCTCCAATTTCTTTGCGATCATCTCTGCTGCATTGCCCCTGGGACACCGGATGTATGGCACATGCCCTGTTGCAAATCAATAATCCAGTTCAGTGCTCCTTTGCATCAGTGCCTTACCCATGGTGACAACAGCACCGAATAATCCACTTGCAATCCGCTCGATCTCGGCTTCAATCTGTTGCTCGGTCGAAGCTGGCGAGTTCAGAATGGTATACGATGTGACCGGATTCGACGGGGCGACCTGTCCAGCATTTGCCGGCGGGGTCGGTGGGGGCAGAAGCGAGAAGAGGGACGGCGAAGGGGAGATGAATGAGAGATATTGGTCCAGGACCTAATCTCAGGGTTAAAATCAAGTGTGCACTTGAGGTATGAGCACTACGAGCCTGTTTCACCATATCCCCCGTACCATCCCTCGCTACAGACGCCGCCAGCTCTTCCAAAAGCGCACGTGGTAGCGGCTCGACAAAGTTGAGATGAAATGATTCGTATAGACCTTTCTCGAGGTCCTCTGCTATCCTCCTGATATTGGCCAGTGTCGGAGAGACAAGATAGACAGCAGGGACGTCTCTCAATGGAGGGCGGTTCGAGTTCAATTGTCTGTGCTGATCGTCAGTTCGCTCGCAAGGCGGGCACTTGAATACGCGCACACATGTAATGTTACTCCAACATCTCGCAAGTCTTGCACACGTAGCACGGTCGCGAGCACGTCCTTCGTTTGCTGATCCAGTACGAGTATCTTCCAGACGAGTTTCCCGGCAGGTTGTGGGACTTTCTGTCCGGTGGTGGCTTTGTGGTGCTGGTCACCTGTATTGTCGGCGGAATTCAAATTGAGTAGAGAAAGCAAGGCATCCGTTTGGGCCTGTTGCAGCGTGGGAGTGACTGCTATCTTGCATCGGGTTTAGAATCATCGTCCTGAGGCTTGTGTGAAGTATACCTGTTTGATGTGGCTTGCCATATTGACCTAGAGACGCGTCAACGAGGACATTGGCACGAAACCGGATGCCCAACTTACTGCAGCCCAGAACTCAGAGGATGCGTTGATGAAATCCGGAGCAGAGAGAACGGAAGGGTTGTAGTCTCAGACTAGACGATTTGAAGTGGAGCAATTCAGCTTGGGAGGGTTCGCCGCCACGCCTCGACACGTCCGTGACTGGCAGAATAATTGACACCACGTGCGAGCTTGATATCAGAATTGATGCTACCATCTTGCTTTTGGATTCGGCTGCGGGCCTCTGGACGGTCATCGAACCAGGAAATGGCCTCGACTGAAGTCGAAGAGATCCTCAATCGCCTTCGTTCACCCCTCCCTGACTTGAAGACTGTTCTAGCGCTGCTCTGTGCGCCTCTGGACTCGATCGGTCTGCTACCCCCCGCTTTCAGGCGGTATAATGTCGATCCACTTCCCGCCGGAGCTATATCAATCGCCAGACACATTCCCGCCTTTCAACGAGAGATACTACAACATATTGGTCCCACGTGGCAGTCCTCTCTGGTTGAAGAAAATGCGGGACCCATAATAGATCAATTCTTCTGCCCGGACAGCTTTTCGTTTGCGTCGTCAGCAACGGGGGACGTGACTGTACTCGCTTACTCGACGATATTGTCTCTCCCGCTCGCAGAGTACTCGATAGGACTCTTGTCAAGGTTGTCCGAGCGATATCCCGTTGACAGACTGCACTCGGCTGTATTCTCGCATTCCCGAGCTGAGGACAAAGTGAAGAGAGCAGCGAGATGGGAAGATTGTGTGCGGAGCATTGTTTCCGTTCCAGTACGGGTAGCAAATGCCCTCGAGGGCAAGGATATCCCTCCCCAGCTAGAACATGGGGTCTATTTCAACCAGCTCTGTGAGCGCTGTGAGATTGCGATTGCGGCGATGTCGTCGGACACCCGAGGTGCGAGATGACACATTAGGTCGTATTTTTATTGAATTGACACAGAGGATGAATCGGGGGGACTGACCTTCCTCCTCGCCAAGCTCATCAATCTCGGCTGCTTCCCTTCGTCGCCACCCTCTTCAAGATCGCAGCCTTCTTTCTTCCAGGCAACCCTACCTCTTATCCGAGAGCGACTTGCAGTGGAGAATCTGCGGTATTCTGGCGCCTGGAGAAAGATCTTCCGCGGATTCGCCTCCACTTTGGCCCTGCGATCTGTTTTCTTATCGCTTCTTTCTGCCTTGCCAGCAGACGGCAGGCTCGACGGATCCCCGCAAGTCAGGTCCTCGATTAAACGAGAGGGGCTGTTTTTGAATTCGTTCTTGGGATCCCTCGATGCGGAAGAGGACTGGCAACTTTGGGAAGCCTTGTCTGCTGTTGTCTTGACTCGGGAATGGAACGAGGCCCATGCTCGCATATTTGTTTGCTGGATCTCGGGCCCTCGTTGCAATGCAGGCGGTGTGCATCCTTTCCTATTGCCCTTGGCCGATGCTCAATGATGCAGCCTTGGAAACTTTGCTGGATCGCATACTTGACCTGTGGTCTAATCCGGAACACATCAAGCATTCGCTGTTGAACAGACACAGATGTGCGTTCTGTCATTCGATTCAAGAGGCTGTTTGACATTCATATCAAGATGTCACTGCCATTTTCCTCCTCACATTGTCATATCTTCCTCCCTCATCATCGAAGCTGCAGTCGCTGGCGCTATCTCCAGCGCTTATCTCGAGCATCGGACAATATATCAGCCATCTGGACGACTCAGTTCGAAGATGCGGCATGCTTGCTGCCGAATTTGTTGCCCAACGCTCAGGCAAAACCCTTGACTTCAAAGATTGGGACGGAGACAGCGACGGAAAGGTGTGGGCACGGAGTTTACGAGCACTACTTGCCATCAAGGACGTGGACGCGGAAGTGCTTGAAGAACCGCCAAGCCTGCCGATCCCCGAAGCTGTCGCGGATGACCTGCCGCCCCTAGGCCATCATCGCGAGAACCCAATCGAGGTCGGATACGACTCGGACGACGACTCTCTGAGCGGGTACATCTCCGAATCTTCGTCGAGATCGGTCTCGCCCACGCGATCAGAACTGGCTGAGATTGAGCAAGATCCTACGCTCAGCGTAGGGCGCAAGAAAGTCCCTCGTCCCGTCTATCTTGCTCAACTGGGGGCTCTGATTCGGCCACCGGGGTCGGTGCAGGTGGACGAGAGCAAGCAGGCGGATGAATTGGAGGTGGGGCTGAGCTGCGCTGAGGAGCTGATACGTAAGAAGACAGGATATGGTGTGGAGCTAGGTGTCTTTTTTTTGGCTCCTCCGTGTGCAGAGAATCTCATCCGGCTGTAGAGGAAAATGCGGTCAATCTGGTCTATGGGTTGGTCGGACTGCAAGACAACTACGAATTGGAAGGCTTCTCCGAAAAGAGGCAGGGTGCTTTGAACGCTTTGGTGGCTTGTATTCCTCGAATCGCAGCGACGTGAGTAATGTCGTCCTTGGATCCGATTTACTTGACTGACTCCTTGCAGATGTATCATCGAGGAATTCTTCAAAAACCAGTACTCAATTGATCAGCGATATGTGATGCTCAACGCTCTTGCCCTGGGAGCCAGAGAACTGGCCTCGCTCAGCATCCCCTCTTCTGCCGTGCCTCGACATCGTATTACTTTTCCAAGCAAAACATTGCCGTCTCTTCTGCACCAGAAGTATGTCGAGAATGGCAACCAGCTGCTGCCTCGACTGGTCGAGGATATCAGCCAAGAGGCATTAGACCGCGACGCTCGGGACAACGTAGATAAGGTCCCTCAGCTCGTCCGAGAACGCAGAATTCGAGTCCAAAAGCAGCCCTTAGTCAAGGAGGTAGAGCCTGATCGACCACTCCAAAAGACGTCCTTCACTCAAGTTGCTGCCGAATGCTTCATCGCCCCGCTGATCAACCGATTCTGGTTGTTTTTCCGTGACGAGCAGTCGCGAGAAGAACGCACGGCGTTACGGCTCGGCAGGCAGAGATACCAGAGCACCGGCACGGGACTCATATTGAATCCTATGGTTCTCTCTCACCTGTTGATCACACTGGCTGTTTTGGTGCATGCTTCGAAGAATGCTCCCGAGTGGCTGGCCGTGATTGCCCCTGAAGCATTGGAGCTCGCGGTGACTCTTGGAACTCGGCCGATGAGCCTAGGCGATGACGACAACGATGGAAACAGCGGTGGCAAGGAGGCAGCCGTTGTAAGCTCTGCTCTGGAGCTCTCTCTCATCGTTCTCGATGGATGTCTGGAGGTCGATGACGGCCGTTCATTGGGCTTGGATAACACAACTTTGCTTCTAGCAACCGGGGAATGGGCCTCTTCTGTTTTCAGCTCTATCGAGCGGGGTGCTAAACTACCTGGCGAAGGAGGGATTCAGGAGATCAAGCTCAAAAGAGCTGCCGCTGGTGTTCTACTAAAAGTGGATACCTTGACTTCAAAATGGCGGCGATCCATGATAGACACTGCTTAATTGATTTGAAAATTTGAGGCTAGATACTTTCAGGCAGCAGGCTGGCCGCTTCAGTTTCACAAAGCTCACTCTCATCAATTGCCGTCGTGTATTTGGCCGTCATCATGTGAGCGCGAATTGAGTGGCAGTGCCGGAAACCGTCATCCAATCCCGACAAGCATGTTTGCGAGACTACCCCGTCGGCTGCCCCGGGTGCCCGCGCCTCCCACGCGCTACCTGTCCTCCACGGCTTCGAAAAGATCAGAGTCCCTTTTCATCGTCCGTCTTCCCCACTTGCTCCTTCGTCTCGTGACCTTACCCATTCTCAGCACCGTGATACTCCATACAACAACCCCCAGGTGGGTACTCAATCTCAGGCCCGCCTTGCTTCTCCCGGACGCATCTGACGCACGTTGAAGATCGAATTCAAATTCAACGAAGAGAATCTCAAGAAGGCCAAGGTCATAATATCGCGCTACCCACCTCAATACAAGAAAGCCGCCGTCATTCCTCTGCTGGACTTGGGACAGAGGCAGAACAAGGGATGGACCAGCATCAGCGTGATGAACTATGTTGCAAAGACGTTGGAAATGCCGCCTATGCGAGTCTACGAGGTCGCCACGTTCTACACCATGTTCAATCGGTACGTCGCGGGAGTGTGATCTGCGTCGCCGGGCTTCTCAATCGTGTGCGCAGTGAGCCGATAGGCACCCACTTCGTCCAAGTGTGCACCACCACTCCGTGCATGCTCATGGGTTCTACTGAGATTCTCAACACGACTTGCGCCCATCTTGGTGGCATCAAGCCTGGCGAAACGACGAAAGACGGCAAATTCACTGTCATCGAGGTGGAATGCCAGGGCGCCTGCAGCAATGCCCCCATGCTCGTCGTGGGCGACGACTTCTATGTGGGTCTCCTTCTCTTACGACGCCACATACATTGACAAGCATGCGCAGGAGGATCTGACTCCGGAGACGACCAAAAAGATCCTGGATGCGTTTGCGAAGGGCGAGAAGCCAAAGCCTGGACCGCAAAGTGGCCGTCAGACCAGCGAGAACTCGGCCGGATTGACCGCGCTTACTAGCAAAGTACGTTGAACTGGTTGTTTTCACTTGCCTGTGGCTCAATGCTCCATCTCTAGCCCTACGGACCTGGTGAACACTGCCAGCCAGAGTTTCGATAATCAGCATTAGAATGAGTTCACAATACAATGTATCGTGCATGTCCCAGTTGATTCCATCGACTTCAGTCATCGCCCTCTCCGTCGTCCCAGCCGTGAATGCCTTCGCCACCTTCCGGCAACCTATCAATCATGTAACTAGCGCTGGATGAGAAGCGTCGGAAGATGGTGACAATGGACACTCACTCGACTTCCTCTTTGAGATCTTTGCAATATCTATCGAGAGGAAGATCGCCGGTGTCATCCCCTGGAAAATTGTTGAGAAGGGTGTCGGATGCCTGGCCTCAAGTCTCCCTTACCATACGGCTGCTCCAATTCGTCCGCAATTCCTTCGATTCCCTGGACACGACTAAATACCTGGAGAGCACGAACAAAACCAGGACAGACCATGAACGTAAACGCGACCACAGTCACAAGAGGAACCATTGCCCAGCCGAGCTCCTTGACCAAGGTCAAAGGAAGAGCAAACAGATAGAGCGTGACACATTGCTTGAGATGAATTCCGTCTACCCTCGGCCTCAGTGATTGCTCGGATATATGATAGGAGGCTTCTCACAAGACACGGGAATAGGCGTATTGGCCACTCTGTAAAGTTCGAGTATGAGATTGGGAAGCTGCGAAAAGTGGGTCCGACGCACCGCTCCATGGAGGTCAGTTGCTCGACCATATTCTGCACACTTGAGGCGGGTCAGTACGGCCACAAGCAATACCCGTCTGAAGCATACATAGCAGTCATAGCATTTGTACCTCGAGTTGATGTCAGCATTCTGGGTAGTCCCCGGGGAGATAAACCACATACCAGCCGGTCCAACGGTCTCCAAGAATCCCTCTCGCCGGAATTGGAACAGCTTGCGTGTGATTTCATGCGCGAGAACCAGCGGTAAGGGCATGGAGGCTTCATCAGCATACGGGTGGAATTCGACTGTTCTTTGAGTTCCGGAAAGCAGCGGGGTCCGAGGTCCGACCTGTTGTTTGCTGCGTTTCGGCCGCACGCGCTTCGTGGCATCTGGACGTGTCGCGATATGGTCAGTGGATCCACCGTTAGAAGAGGGGGCCGAGTGGTTGAGAGTCGCCGCGTAGGAGCTTGACGCAGTGGTGTGCTGAGTGTTGAATCCCACTTCATCCGCTCTGATGAAAGCCGCAGGGAGAACACCGTGGTAGTCGTTCCAATGCAGACCATCCTCGCCACGCAGATAGTGCTACAAAATGTTTGTCGGGAGTGGAATCAGTTCAAGGGCCTACACACTTTGGTAGCGAATGCGAATGCCGCGCACAATTGCAACACCTCGGTCTTCCTGCGGTGTAGTTGGTGGCTCGTGACTTCAGTCGTGGGTGTTTTGCCTTTGGCACTTCCGGGCTGGTCGTCGGTCGGAGGGAGCGCGACATTGATCCATACAAGACGAGTGAGACTCCGAACGTTGGAGGTTATAGAGGCAAAACATTTGCGACCTTCCCACCAGCGATCGTAGGACGTCCTGGAAGCAAACTTAGAGACGTTGATAGCAACACCTTACGCCCAGGCACACGAACCCATTTCTGAAGACGAGAATCAAACCGACCTGTGCGTAGTGAGCGGACACACAACGAATGACAGTCGCCGCACGCACCACGACTGAAAGCAACGGAACGATGCTGTTGGTGGCAAAGAGGACATAACCGTGGTGGCTGGCATACGCGATGCCCGTAGCAAACAGAGTAACGGTCTGTATTCCAGGAAGGATTTCAGCGAGCTTTCCTTGTTCGAACACCCACGAAACACACGCACGAGCACAGGCCCAAAGATCCTACTGATGATCTGGAATACTGCTTCAAGACTGCAGTTGGCAGTGGCAAATCAATAGAACGCACGCTTCCTTTTAAACGGAAGACGTCGGGGAGCCATGAGTACTGGAAATCAAACTGGTCACCCGAGTGCTCGAAATGTGGAGAAAGCCGAGTTTACTTTGCGTAAGTGCCGGCGCTTGATCGGTGGTGGCTAGAGCGCATTCATTCATTGAGGCTTAAGCGGAGGGGCAGAAGTTGGAGTAGCTACCCTCAAGGTGGGCAGCACCGAGGCTAATGTGGTCTTGTTGGTCGAACCGGTCATGATGGTCGAGGGAAAGAATCGCCGACACAAGGTCAGCCATCATTAGATTCCGGTCGTCATAGAGTTCATTATTAGCTCTCGTAAAGTACGTATGGATACATTTGCTAGACACTTATGCACAGTGGAAGGGTTGAGGTCATTAGGTTACAGTATAATGTATGTCAAGGTATCACAACAATCTTAATGAACTGACATTAAAATATCTCCACACGGAAAGGGGAAAACTGTAGTTCCTCGAGTTGGTATCGCGGTGTCGTAACAGGAGATGGCGGAGCCCACAGAGATTTGTGAATCAACACAGGAGATGCGAGAGGATGAGCCAACTGCAGATTCGGAGTCCACGGCGTTGAACAGGCTTGAGAGTACGAGAGTCGTCGGGGAACTTGACAATTGCGCGGACGTGAGAAATGAATATGTATGTCTTGAATCGGAGATTCTGGGGTGCAGGGACTCGGCATAGCAGTCGTGTTGCTGTCAATTTGCATCGCAAGCACGAATGGACTCCAATGCCGAGCGTGTTTGTAAGGAAAACCTTTGGGTGCAAGAGGAGGTTGAGACGGTGTTTGTATCAGCTGGTTGGCAGGAGTGAGAGGGGTCGGAAAGTGGCTGGGGGAGATGGATTGAGAACTGGGGGTGTTGATATGCAGCTTGAGGTAGGGTAAGGTGCGGGTCGATGAAGCCGTGCGACGAGCAGAGATTGTTGTATGAGCATGTTCCAGGGATGGGACGGTACCGTGAGCAATACCGGTCTTTCTCTTCGTGGACTCAGTTGCTACAGCGAAGTTAGACGTGAGGAGATGCAGAGACACCAGCCATACACCGCGATAGAACAGAGACGCGATGCGCCAGCTGGAGAACATGTTTCTTGGAGCAGATGACTAGCTCCTTCTTCTTGACAAAGCTTCTAGCAAAGCGAGATTGTCGTTGGATACAGGTCTCGCGCGCTCGATGTGGTCGTTGGAGGGAAAGCGCTGGTAATGGGATCATGCTCTGAGCCTTCCTTCAACAGGATAGGAAAAGAGATGTAACCATAGATAAGGATGTGATCTTGATCCAATAAAGCCGTTGAGCGGTGGGCTGAAGAGAGAACGCAGAGCGGGGAACTCATGGCCATGATAGTTGTTTGAGCAGAGGTTTGGATGAGTCGTCACTGGAACGCGAAGCGTCACAAGGCACTGTGTGACGTTGGAAACCACGGGACTACACGTGATCCAAAATCTGAATTTTAGCTGCAGACTCACGGTGGACTGCGGAGCTGAGAAGGTATTGAAACAGGCTCAACTCGGCGGTCTACGGCCAGAAATACATTCTTCGAAGGATTTCCGACAGTTCGCGACGTGTTTCGCACGTGCAATTGCATGTGGTCAAATTGCATGTGGTCGACAAGCTTATGCCAGAGAGGAACTCGAATCGGACGAGTCGGGTGGTTCCGATCGGTTTCCCTTTCGAGCACCACCCCCCGTCCTCGCATTCACGTTAAACCATCTCTCTTCTGCAGAACATACTGCTCGCCGCCCACAATGGATGCAGACTTGAAACAGTATCGTCTTCCGACAAATGTCAAGCCCCTGCACTACGACCTCACCGTCTGGACGGACTTGAAGGCCCTTAAATTCGGTGGATTCGTGAGCATCGAGTGAGTTTTGCCCGACCTGCTCAGTCCCAGACCCGAATAACTTTGTCAGGCTCGACGTACGGGCGGATACCACGACAATCGAGCTCAACACGAATGACTTGCAGCTGGGAACCGCGTACGCACTTCGTTGGATCGATCATCGTCATGTGCTCATCGGCTCTCGTCAGTTCCATCTTCTCCGATGAGATTGGATTGAACGAACCATTGGTGGAACAAACGTTGGATACATCGCTGCAACGCGTCAAATACACGCTGCCGAAATCTTTGACCGCTGGAACGAAAGCCCACCTGAAGATTCCGTTCGATGCTTCGGCGCTTGGCAACAGTATGACGGGGTACTACCGGTCCGCGTGGGAGGAAAGCGGGGAGACGAAATACTACGCTCTCACTCAATTCGAGGCATGTGTCTCCCTCCGCTCTGCGCTAGAGCTGAACGATATACTCTTCAGCCAACAGACGCCCGGGCTGCGTTTCCTTGCTGGGATGAACCCGCGCTGAAGGCGACATTTGCGGTCACCATGATTTCGCACAAGGACACCGTCAACTTGAGCAATATGCCTGCGCTCTCGGAGCAGCCATATCAAGCTACGGGAGAACTGGCCGCGTCTCTGGCTCCCGATTGCGAGTGGAAGATCACCAAGTTTGAGACCACCCCGCTCATGTCTACGTATCTCGTCGCTTTCGCAAACGGCCCCTTCGTCTACTTGGAACAGAGCGCTGTTTCCCCGCTCAGCGGGAGAACGATTCCCTTGCGCATCTACAGTCAGTCGTCGATCGTCCGCTGTAATGCAGCAGCTCGCTGACGTGATCAGGTACTCCGGATCTGATTCACCAGGCTGCTTTTGGATTGGACGTCGCGGCCAAGGTGTTGCCGATTTACGAGCAAGTTTTCGATATCGAGTATCCCCTTCCCAAATTGGACTCGCTTGTTGCGTCTGATTTCGATGCCGGTGCAATGGAGGCGCGTTGAAGGCCTATTCAAGCTATTTGACGAGAACTAATGTCTTGACAGAACTGGGGTCTCATCACAGGACGTGTCAATGCTCTTCTCCTTGACCCTGCAAAGGCAGATCTTCGTGGCAAGAAGAACGTGGCTGTGACCCAGAGCCATGAAGTAGCGCACCAGTGGTTTGGAAACATCACGACGATGAGCTGGTGGGAAACATTGTATCTGAATGAAGGAGAGTTTTTCTTTGAATGCTCATCCGCAATCTGCTGATCGTTGGAGCAGGCTTTGCAACTTTGGTGCGATTCTTGTTGGGGGTATCTCTGCTGACGTCTGATTGGTTCGTCAGATGGGAGAGGTCATCATCCTCGGTAAGTTGTTGGACACCCTGCTCTGTGCTTGCTGACAGCTGTTCTTCCGCAGACAAGTAATGCATACATTTTCTCCATGGATTGTGTCTCATGATGTGTTCAGATTGTTTCCAGAATGGAAAGTCAATTCGGCGTTCATTTCCGACCATTTGCAGGCTGCATTGACCCTCGACGCAAAGCTTTCTTCTCATCCAATCGAGGTGGAGTGTCCAGATGCCAACCACATCAACCAGATATTCGATTCGCTCTCCTACTCCAAAGCTGCAGCCGGTGAGTCGTGGTTGGAGCTTCTTCTCTGGCCTGACGTCGTACAGTGCTTCGCATGTTGTCCGATTATGTTGGCGAAGAAAAGTTCCTCAAGGGCGTATCACTGTACTTGAAGAAGCATCTTTACGGCAACACTGTGACCAAGGATCTGTTCGAAGGCATCTCCACTGCAACAGGAATCGACACTGTGCGACTGATGGACAACTGGATCAACAAGGTACTGTCTCTGTGGTCGTACGGTCAGAATTGCATTGACCGTGGGAAAAGCAAGGATTCCCGGTGCTTACCGTGACTGAGACCGACAAAGGGATCCTGGTGCGCCAGGACCGTTTCATCGAAACGGGCCATGTGGAAGCCGATCAAAACGAGACCATCTGGTCAGTCGTTGCCCTTTTTGCACCTCATCGCCCTGAAAGGAAACAGGAACATTCCGCTGGGTATCCTGACGGCGACTGCCGAAGGAACTGCTAGCGTGGACAAGACTGCTGTGCTCGAGGAGCGGGAAAAGTTCTTCGCCCTGAACACGAAAAGCGCGTTCAAACTGAATGCAGGCACCTCGGGCGTTTGTGGGTGCTTACAAATCTCTAAGAGTGGTTGTTGGATTGACCGTTTTGCTGCTCTCAGATCGTGTGCTGTACAGTCCGGAACGATTTGCGGCAATTGCAGCCGAGGCAGCCAAGGCAAACTCGGTGTTTTCCCTGGACGATCGTATGGGCCTATTGTACGATGTCACGGCCCTTTCCAAGGCAGGACTGGCAAAGAGCAGTGATCCCCTTGCCGTCATCGAGCAGTGGTCGAATGAGCAAGAATGTACGATCCAGTTCATCATGTTTCTGTCACATCTCCTGATCACATCAGACCTTGTTTGGTCGACTATCGCAGGAAATCTGGGTCGTCTCGTCTCAGTTTTCTCTGGAAACCAGAAAATCGTGGACACACTTCGGGCGTTTAATCGTTCGCTGTTTGTACCGTTGGTCAAGAAGTTGGGCTATGAGTATCTTGAGGGAGAAGACCTGGATGTCACTCAGATGCGCACTTTGGCCATCGGTGCCGCAATGTCTGCTCGTGACCAGAGGTCAGTACAGTTCTCGATGTTTTCCTGGATCTGTCCTTGATCCCCCCATCAGTGTCATTGACGAGCTGAAGAGTCGTTTCTCTCACTACATGGAGAGCGGCGATGACTCGAAGATTCCTGCCGATCTGGAGGCTGCCATTTATCTGGCGGTACGTCATTCTTGCGAACAGTACACAATTCTTATTCCATGCGCACAGGCTGCAAGACACGGCGGCCGCGCTGAATACGACGCCCTCGTCAACATACTGCACAAACCGAAGACACCCCAAAGCAAAATGTGAGCGTTTCTCCTTATCCCTTCGATGCCAAGCACTGAGACTCTGCAGCTCTGCTATGTCAGTCAATGTCAAGAGGCATGGGCCAACCTTTTGATTGACCCGCTTTCCCCAGCTACGCTTTGTCCGGGACTTTGGATCCGGATCTGCTCAAGGAGACTTTCAGCCTTGTCTTGAAATCCCGTGACCAGGATCTGGTGTACTACTTCCGTGGTCTTCAGTCCAATGTTTCAGCGCAACAACCCTTGGTCTCGTTCTTTACCGAAAACTACGACTATGCAAGTCCCCTTCCCACACTCAATCGATTGTCTACCTCCTGCTGAATGCATTCCAGCTCATGAAACGATTTGAAGGAAACTTTACTATCAAATCGCTGGTTTCTGTCAGTGGCTAGGCTGGCTGGTCTTTGATCGTCGCTGATTCGTTTCTTGCTTCAGGCCACCTTCTCTTCTCTGTCGACCGAAAAAGACTTGGCAGCGGCAGAAGAATTCTTCAAGGACAAGGATACGAGCAAGTACAGCATGGCAATCGCACAATCGCTGGAAACCATCCGCACACGCATCCAGTACATTGAGGTATGTGTTGTTTTCAGACTCGGAGGCATTACATGACATGGCACAGCGTTCTTCGGCCGACTTGACTGAATGGCTGGACAAGTGGGAGAAACGAGCCAAGTTGTAATGCGAGGCATAAGAAATGGGATGCATAGAATGAATAGTACAATGATGGCTCCAGATCTATATAATCACACTTAGGGATCATCCGGCCCTGGCTCGGGCTCCTCTGGAATCTGTTCTCGGGCTAATGAGCCACCAGGCCGGGAGGCACCAGCGGCGGCTTTGGACTCCTTTCTGCGCTTGGCCGACTCTTTCAGTTTTTCCCATTTCTCCTGGTAGCGGGTTATCATGGCTTTCTGTGCCATGTATAAGCGAGCGATGCAAGTCCAGCAGAAAAACAACATCACCTGTTTGTCATTCTCGGCGCGTACACCCCTCAGATCATCCCGAGCCGCTCGAAGCTCGTCCTCAAGCTCTTTGACACGTTTAGCATATTGCGCCTCACGTCCAGTCTTGGTCCCAGGGGTTTCGCGTAGAATCGAGGCCAGAAGCTGTGGTCCGTTAACAGAAGTGCCCAAAGTCATGGCTCGATGGGCCTATCGAAGGTTAATGTAAGCAGACACTCGACGACACGTCACAGCACCTCTTTCGTAGCCATGTAGATTGAATCCCTCAGATGGGCATCCTTCTTTTGATAGGCTTGTTCCACGTTCTCCAGCCTCTTCTTCAGAACTTCGATCTCGAGCGTAAGGGAGGCGTTCTCTTGCTTCAGTTCGATCGCAGTGGGTTCAGCAGAGGATGGTATCAAGTAGAACGATTCAGCTAGTTCGTCCCCTGTAAGAGTGATTCGTTCAGCCGTGCGCCAAAGCAACAGTTGAATCAAGAAGAGCACCTGCTTCGGAATCCTCGTCTCCGTCAAGATCCGACGACAATGGCTTCAGGTTGCTCGATGATCGATCCTGCTTCTTGATGTCGCCGCTGATTCCCAGTCGTCTCGCGAATCGTGAGACGATAGGCTCCTCCAGGTCGGTATCACTACTCAAACTGCCTTCTCGCGGGAGATGGGACGCCAATTTCGTCCGCTTCGAACTTGAAGAGACCGATTCGACATGGCCCAACGGAGCAGTGGCGAACGCCACGGGCTGAGAGAGATTGTCGAGCATCCCTTGCATGATGTTCCAAAACTGGTTGAAAGGGTCTCCGGGATCGGACTGAAGACTATGCATCAGCAACAAGACCGACGCCATGAGTCGAAACTCGGTACACGTTGACCGCCCAGCAGCATAAACGACTCATCTACTCCTTGAGAGTCTGTCATCGGACGTGGTAGAGGCGCGGATGGTGCTGATTCTGATTGAGGAGAATGCGAAGACTTTTCAGTCCGTCTTTCGGGCATAGTCGAGGCACGGGGCGTGTTGGCAACTTTGTGTGGCAAGGACGGATCTTTCCCTTCCGCTTTCAGCTGCTCGATCCTCCTCTCCAGGTCTTTCCCTGCTCTCTGGTGGTCGTTATACAGCATCTTCAACGTTCTCTTGGTCTACACAAAGCAATATGAGAAAGACCCACGAGAGGACACGGCTACTAAACTGATTCGTCGTGATTACGTTCCATGGCTTTCTCATAAGCTTGAGCGGCCTTGGAAGGTACCTGAATGGTTTACAACAGGAAAGGTCTCGCGTCGGTACCTTGAGATGCTCTTCTGAAGCTGGAATCAACTGGAAGGCCCTACTTAGCAGTATCCCAGAAGCGAATGCCGAAACGCACCAGGCCCTGTGCGAACATATCCTCCGCGTTTGCAGCATGTTCATGGGCCTAGAAAGATGCCAAATGAACTGAGAGCCCCAATTTTATTCCAGACATACAGCATTCAACATCTAGGCTCGCGTTTCACAAAGAACTTGAAAACAGCGTACGTGAATGTGGGGCAGAAGCAAGCAATGACAGTCTGCCCGAAAAGGAAACAGGACCCCTTCAGTAAACCTTTCGTATCCTTAGAAGATTACACGAACGGAGCATGAGTCTGAAACCTTCCGACGTGAGACATGGAGCGGCAACAGCGGAGGCGGTCCAAATTTCCGGCCCTGGTCTCACTTGTGTCCTATATAAGCTACGAGACCGAGACATCCCCTAATCACCACCAGTTACCCCATTATGCCACGCATTGCGAACATCTTCGAAGGAAAAGAGGCCCAGAGAACGAGAATTGAGGTATTTTCACGAGATCTAGTAGTCGCAGTCCACCGACACATTTTGCAGGCAGAGCTTGCTGAACGCAGTGAGCGCTTCCGCTCTTCGCCAACAATAGTTATCGGTAACGTAGTTGCCCTGAATCCAGTGCGTAGCCAACAATCCATGCTTGAACCCACTAACTATGCTAGACCTTTGAAGGGCCAAACCCATTCAACACCTCGGAGATGCTAAATCCTGAGGACCACGGCGTGCTGAAGATCACAGACGAAGAAGAGTATTGGAATGGTGTAGCGGACGAGAATCAGAGAAGACGGAGAGCCAGAGCCAAAAGCGAGGCGTACAAAAAATCGCCGTGGACGAACGAGCAATTGAAACGAGGGACCCAAAGCCTGGAGGTCGCGCGCAGCCCCCGCTTTCCAACACCACCTCTTGACGTAGAAGTCATATTCGAGCCCGAGGAGGACCCATTTCGCAAACAGCCGCTAGGAAAGACGGAGATCGCCCCAAATGCATTTTTCATGGACCCAGAAGAAGACATGCGGGAACAAAAGCGGAGAGTAAGTCGACATACATAGGTGCTTCCGTGTAGCACTGGCCGTCGCTGATGCATCTGCAGTCCCGACGCATAACCCAGACAGACTTCCCGACAGTGGATTACTTGCACGTGGATATTCCAGACAGCAGACTTGTTTAATATCTCCCAGTCGTAAATTGAATATGCATGGTCCAGATCCATGTAGACTCATGGCGGTGTTCGTAGACGTTCAATCGTAACGCGTGACTCTAGATGCTGCGATCAACCCTCAGCCAAACAAGTCGACTGTCCTGCCGTTCTTTTAGTTCCTCGCATCTCTGTCTTTCTGGTCACAATAAGGTGCGAACGGCTTCAGTAACTCTCAGGTGCCATCGACCCACCGGTCGCCCCCATCTAGTGGTCGAAAATCAAGGATAAGAAAGGTGTCAATGATGGCAAGAAAAATGTCGCGTACACGCGAGCTGCTCGCGATATCATGAACGCTGTTCGCTGCAAGTCCCTTTGAAATTGCTGGGGTCCAAGTGCTGACCGTCATGCTCTGACTGTAGTGGGCGGAGGATCGACCGACCCGGATCGCAATTCCGCTCTTGCTGCCATCCTCCGACGCTTGAAAGACATTCCCAAAGATAATATCCAAAATGCCTTGGAAAGAGTGAGCATTTTACTCCTCACGTTGTGCCCATTTGACCGTCCGTCTTCAGGCTCGTAAGAAGCGAGACCAGAGCGGAGACGACATCGTATACGAAGCAATGGCTTTCAATTCGGTCGGTCTAATAATGTGATATTCCAAAACCTTTTGTTTGTCATGACTGAGGTTAACGGAAACCAGAGAGTGCACAACAGAGAACCCTACACGAACTTTCGCAGACGTGCGCAAATTGCTCAACGACCATGGGTGACTTCGCAGTCTCTTTCCGCTCCATGAAGTGCTAACATTTGACAAATAGCGCTCGAATGGCTCCAGTTCGGTTCTTATTCGATCGCAAAGGTGTCGTGAAGGTGCTCTTCAATCCGGGTACTGAGGATCCTGATTTGGCCCTCATCAACTTGGTGGAATTGGCTGCTGAGAACGGGGCAGAAGATGCCTCAGATGCCCTTGACTTGGGAACATTACACGAAGAGACAGAGATTGAGGTATGTTGCATTCTTGAATCACAGTGGCTTAGTAAACACATTGCTCTCAGTTTTCATGTCGTTCGCATCTGCTCGCAGAACTGACATCTGCACTGTCGGCTCCCGGGGTTTGTCAAGCCGTTGTCGGTAGTGAGATTGTTTTTGCGCCGGTAGATACAGCCGGCACGCCGGGCGAGGACGACCCGGACCTTGGGAGTAAAGTCGCAGAGTTGATTCGTCAGATTGAAGAAAACGACGACACCAAACGGGTCTGGTCGTCCTTCGTAGCGTAGCAATCTTCGGTAGACAACTAAGTGTAGTGGAATAGGACATGTTCATTCGTCTTCATAGAACTTCTTCCGAGCCTCGTCAGCCTTGAGTTTCCTCAGCTTGGACGATTCACGGTTGCCAGCGGTGCGCTCGAGACGCTGAACAGGTCAGAGCTTCCGATGTTGTGTTGAGAGTTCAGCACTTGCCTCAGTTCGGAGACACAAATTCAACTGCTCCTTTTGGTCATTACAGCGCCCAAGCAGTCGAGCCCATTTGTTTGAGTGGCACTCCTCGAGAGCTCGGATGAAATCAGCACACACTGCACAGATGATCATTGGGCGAGCTGCAGTGTCGGTAAAATGCATGCGTACCCAACTTTTTTTCCGAAAGTTGTGGGTGCATGACGGAAAGACGCTTTGGGTCCCGATCCTCACACCTCGCCTTCCTAAACGGGAATGCAGCTGACGAATAGTGGATGACAGCAATCGACAAGTGCAGAGTGACTGTATTCAGCTACGATTCTCAAGGTCTTAAGCGGCCAGAGCTCTGAGTTTCACCGAGTTGGTGAGATTGCTGGACAAACATACAGAGACTCATGGCACAACTTGACACAAGCAGTTAACGTGGGAATCACGTAAACCTAATGACCGCACTCCTTAAAAGGAAGTGGATTGTGACTAAATGTAGTGATCGGGAGGTTGCCAAGGTATCACTGCAGGGGGACTTATTTTTTTTCCGCGGAAGATGCGTGACAATCTAGAAGTTCGATTTTCACCGTTCTGTTTTCAGACAGCAGGAAGATATTGCAAATAGATGTAGATTTACAGCCAGATTTGTACCACGAATAGACGTCTATTCCCCCAAAAACAGAGCTGTAAACAGATGTTCTTTTTTCAGACCGATTCTCACTAAAAGCAGATGTTCTTTTCTCACTGAAAAAAGAACATCTTTTTTCAATGTCGATTCTCACGGAAAACAGACGTCTGTTCCCACTGAGAATCGATCTGAAAAAAGATCATCTTTTTTCAGATCGATTCTCGATGAGAATAGACATCTATTCCCACCGAGAACAGATAATGAAAAAAGATGTTCTTTTTTCAGTGAGAAAAGATGCGAGTCGCAACGAGTCGCAATGTGTCGGCACGAGTCGTTGCATGGCCGCACACACGAGTCAATTTACGAGTCATATAGTGTGCTGCCGACCTTGATGAGCCGCATTGGAATAATATTACACTACGCCGTCGACACTCACGAGCCGCAACCACCAATAAAATGAATATATTATTAGACGCCTTCGCTGTGAGTGACGGTGACATTGATGTGACTGACCCGCCACCAACACCGCCAACAGTTGCCGTCAACTACCGCCGTCAAGCGCAAGTAAGCCACACCTGCGACTTGAACCTGACCCTCAGCTCGACGGGACGAATTTTCTGGCTCTTCACGACTACTCTCGACATTCGCCTACCCTACGTACAGTATCACGCCCACACCGCTCTTCGATGTATCCTACTATTACCTACTAATATATGTTTCTCTATCACCTCCTACCAGTATCAGATCAGAATGAAAGCAAGCCGTGAATGGATATTTTTCAGAACGCGAGAAGAATCGGAGATTCCTTTGGTGCGCTCTCTCTCGCCCGATCTACGCAGACCAGTCTCAATTTAGCTGGTATTTAACAGTGCGTGCTTCAGGTCTATGATTTCTGATCCTCTGATCCCCTACAGACGCACAGAGATCAGAGCCGAGACAACCGATAAAATCCCCGCTATTCCGTACCTAGGCCATTTCCCCCGACAGATGGTCGGGAGGGTTTCCCGGTGGAGGGTGTACGCTTGATCAAACCCGACTGATTGCGACTCGGGTGGCTGTAATTGAACCGCCACCAACACCGCCAACAGTTGCCGTCCACTAACGCCGTCAAGCGCAAACAAGCCACACCTGCGACTTGAACCTGACCCTCAGCTCGACGGGACGAATTATCTGGCTCTTCACGACTACTCTCGACATTCGCCTACCCTACGTACAGTATCACGCCCACACCGCTCTTCGATGTATCCTCCTATTACCTACTAATATATGTTTCTCTATCACCTCCTACCAGTATCAGATCAGAATGAAAGCAAGCCGTGAATGGATATTTTTCAGAACGCGAGAAGAATCGGAGATTCCTTTGGTGCGCTCTCTCTCGCCCGATCTGCGCAGACCAGTCTCAATTTAGCTGCTATGTAACAGTGCGTGCTTCAGGTCTGATTTCTGATCCTCTGATCCCCTACAGACGCACAGAGATCAGAGCCGAGACAACCGATAAAATCCCCGCTATTCCGTACCTAGGCCATTTCCCCCGACAGATGGTCGGGAGGGTTTCCCGGTGGAGGGTGTACGCTTGATCAAACCCGACTGATTGCGACTCGGGTGGCTGTAATTGAACCGCCACCAACACCGCCAACAGTTGCCGTCCACTAACGCCGTCAAGCGCAAACAAGCCATACCTGCGACTTGAACCTGACCCTCATCTCGACGGGACAAATTATCTGGCTCTTCACGACTACTCTCGACATTCGCCTACCCTACGTACAGTATCACGCCCACACCGCTCTTCGATGTATCCTACTATTACCTACTGATATATGTTCTTCTATCACCTCCTACCAGTATCAGATCGGGCGTCTTTTTCAAATGCGAGAAGAATCGGAGATTTCTTTGGTGCGCTCTCTCTCGCCCGATCTGCGCAGACCAGTCTCAATTTAGCTGCTATGTAACAGTGCGTGCTTCAGGTCTATCGCTTCTGATCCTCTGATCCCCTACAGACGCACAGAGATCAGAGCCGAGACAAATCATAGAATCCCCCCTCTTCCGTACCCAGGCCATTTCACCCGACAGATGGTCGGGAGGGTTTCCCGGTGGAGGGTGTACGCTTGATCAAACCCGACTGATTGCGACTCGGGTGGCTGTAATTGAACCGCCACCAACACCGCCAACAGTTGCCGTCCACTAACGCCGTCAAGCGCAAACAAGCCATACCTGCGACTTGAACCTGACCCTCATCTCGACGGGACGAATTATCTGGCTCTTCACGACTACTCTCGACATTCGCCTACCCTACGTACAGTATCACGCCCACACCGCTCTTCGATGTATCCTCCTATTACCTATATATGTTCTTCTATCACCTCCTACCAGTATCAGATCGGGCGTCTTTCTCAAATGCGAGGAGACTGGTAGACTTCTTTGGTGCGCTCTCTCTCGCCCGATCTACGCAGACCAGTCTCAATTTAGCTGCTATGTAACAGTGCGTGCTTCAGGTCTATCGCTTCTGATCCTCTGATCCCCTACAGACGCACAGAGATCAGAGCCGAGACAAATCATAGAATCCCCCCTCTTCCGTACCCAGGCCATTTCACCCGACAGATGGTCGGGAGGGTTTCCCGGTGGAGGGTGTACGCTTGATCAAACCCGACTGATTGTGACTCGGGTGGCTGTGTAGAGGCGCAGCTTGTAGCGGGAAGACTAGTGCACAGCGTCACCATCCGAGGCGCGCAGCGGCTCCGATCCCATCCAGTTGAGAGAAGAGATCTACGCAGAAGGTGTCGGGTCGATGTGTTTCTGTCTGGACTGCGGCAGAGAGATCGAGAGCTTAATGAAGTACTCCATGTACCTGCTTTGCGAACCAATTCATTTCGGCTCTTTATCTGCTACGGAAACGACGCTACAACATGGACGGAGATGATAGAAATCCGCCGTTGCCGATACAATTTGCGAGCCCTGTATCGCTGATAAGCACACCCGCACAAATGACAACGACACACATATGCTCCCGAGCTCGGATATCCCTTCGCGAACGAGTTGCAGATACCTAAGCTAGCAGCTGGTTTGGATCCAGATCTATCAGAGACAAACGTTAGACAACGCGCGCAGACAACAAGAGGCGCGACGCGCCCTTACTGACCTTCGCTGTGGATCGTGCTTACTCTCGGAGCGCCCACTCAAAATCAATTAGCAACAACAACGCATGTAAGTCATTGAACTGACGTCGGAAACGATATTGGGATTCTATCATGAGGGCTGAAACCCGCTCTGAAACCCGGCAACTCTCATTCAAAATTTGCAAGCGGATCGATGGTCTGAAACGCGCCCAGCATCAGCTCGTGGCGATGGTTAGGGACAGCCCACAGCGTCTAGTTCGGCACACGGAGCCGCGTCCGCTTCCGGTCCTTGATCAACGCGTCCATCTCCAGGTCCTCCTCCAACCTTCCACCAGTCGTGTACGGGTCCTGGTGGGCCTCCCAATCCTCTCCGCGTCTGCTGCAAGACGTCCGCACGGTGTCCCAGCTCCGTCACCCGTCTGCGAGTGTCCGCGTATGGTCTTCCTCGTCCTTGTTTCCATTCTCAGCTGCACCTGCGTCTCGATCACGGTTTGTACACGGCGGCTGGCAAGCTAGTAGGCGGTGGGGGTGGACTGCTCGGCATCAAGAGACACGGACTGGTTGCGAAAGAAGTGCGTAAGTTAGAGGGCGAATGCGAAGGCGGACGGGAGCGTCGTCGGAAAAGAGCGTGGAGTGGGCTAAGCCCCGATGCGTCCTTGCCAACCTTCGCTCGAGTCCCAGGGAGCTGCAGACGACGGCGATGCGCGTTGGTGTGTTCTTGGCCAGCGAGGTTGCGCGAGTGAGACGTAGGGCTGGGTCATGGCGGTTTGTTGGAAAGGACGCGATTTCATCTTATCTTCCATCGGCGGTGCTGCGGCGCTGATAAGGGACAACCGAGTTTTACATAAATGTACAGGAGCTGTATGTACGCGACCTCGAGCACCTGAAAATGAAGATTAGTAGAGACAGTCTGAAAGATCGCGGGGCTTACCGGTCTAATCCGCGAGTGATTCGCCAGCAGACTTGGCGCACAATCCAACGATGTGCTTCAGGCTGGCCAAGCCTCCAATGTCAGAGAGCCTCCAAAATTCGCGATGCAGTCGCGTGTAGCCTTTGCAGCTGCACGGAACCTTCGCCCGCTGGCCGATCGAGTCCAGAGCGGTATGAACGATGTGCTCTGAAACGCGTCAGTAAAGCGAATCGGGCCTGCGGTGAGGAGCGCACCAAAGCGCATTCGTCTCGACACG